CTTACGAGGGCCTGTACATGAGAACATCAAGGAATCAAGCGCATATATGCATGTCACATACTCTACATGTCACACTGAGAGCGATGCGGAAGGGTCCTGTGTCAGAGACACATATATGCAGGATAATCTCAACAGACCTTGGATGCTCGAGCCGCCACCCCGCATTGAAGAACCCTTGCAAACTGTATGGACAGGCAGGAGTCGGTGCCGCAGCTGTCGCGCGTACGAATACATGTAGTCAGGTGCACTGCAGCACGAGAGAAAAATTGCATATACATACGTTTGTGACATATTGAGCTTAGCGAGACACGGCGGAGATACTGTTCGGAGGGAGTAAGCAGAGGCGGGGTATGGTGGTGACCAGGAGGAAGAAGCGGCGAGAACGGAAGGCCATCGACGCCTTCTATATATGCAGTTTCATAAAAGGAAACTCGCCGGGAGTGACTTTAGGGGAGGTCGAAGGAATCTTGGTGGGCAGACGGCGTGGATGCGATGGGCGGCGAGAAACACGTCTCGGAAAGCGAGACGGATGACGTCATGTCATAACCGAGATCTGGGCGAGCAACTCATGTCATGTTTAGTGGTATCAGGATAGGATTCAACTTATAATAACATACCGGTCTGAGTTACGATTTGCAATGCAATACCAGTCAGGTATCGCGTGTCCTTGCATTGCCAGCGTTCGCCATCCTGTTAGGCGCTTGCCTGGCAACTCATCCCTGATCTATAACCGATTTTTTTGCTGATGTTGCTGGCTCGACGATATCCTGCGCCATGGTGGCCTGTACCAACCTCTCGCATCTCCCATGCTAGGGCGACCAGTATCCGCAGCAAATCCCAGCTTCATCGCAGTTGACCTGCTACGCGTCCAACAGAGTTCGATGCTTCCCAACTTGTATCGCCTCGTCGACACGCACAGGCCAGCAGGAAAATACTGGCGCCGTTACACGCAGGCCCTTGTACTGGCCGCTCCAGATCCCTCGGCTGTTCTCTTTGACGTGTGCACGTGGCCTGTACTTGGGTATCTTTCCACCTGCGCTAGCGCAGTAGTTCTAGTTCCGCCTCCGACGACGACCTAGGTTCCCGCCCTACGAACAAGAGTCCTCGCTTTTTGTGCATACGCTGCGAACTCCTTACGGATTCAGTGCTGTTTCGACACTTGGACTGACTCGCGAATCATTCTGTCCTCGTAAGACTAAACCACTATGGTTGAAGTTCGTCAGCAAGAGGAGCAAGCGAGCACTGTACAGTGCATAAATATCGCTGTCATCGGCGACAGGTCAACTGGGAAGAGCTGCCTATCGATACGCTTTACCGAGGGTGATGGGATGGACCCCGAAGTCCTCAACAACATGACTGCAACGATAGGTATAGGCACGCTGGTGAGCGACACGGTGATGGCACACATCATCTTGAAACTCACGGGATTTCTCCAATGTAGACGAAGGACATATTGCTGGACGGGAAGAAGCTGAATGTGCTCTTGTGGGTGCGCACCGGTCTCATCTCATGAACGTGATTGTGGTCTAGCTGTTAAAACCCGCCCATCTACCTCAGGACACTGCAGGGCAAGAGCGGTTCCGTTCGTTGTCCCGCAGTTATTACCGCCGTGCCGACGCCATCATGCTAGTTTACGATATCACCAACCGCCAGAGCTTCGATGCACTGCCGTCCTGGTACACCGAGCTCAAGGATCATGCGGGCGAGAGCGTTGTGACCGCAGTAGTAGGTACCAAGGTCGACCAGGTACGTGCCCGATATCGCCTCTCATGGACACAGCCTTATCACGTCGACCCTAGGAATCATCGCGTCAAGTGCCGTACCAAGAAGGCCACCGCTTCGCTCAGCTGCACGACAGCCTCTTCTTCGAGACATCCGCAGTGTCTGGTGAAGGCGTCGAAGAACCGTTCACGGAACTCATTCGCAAGGCTATTGCGACAAAGAAGACGGTATATCCCCCTCGACGACGCGCATCCCGGGCGCAGCCTCAGGTTCGGTTGAGCATGCCATCCCCCGCTCCCAGCAAAGCGTCTAAGTGTTGCTGAGCGCCGGTTACTTTCTCGCTCAGAATGGAACATTCTGTATTATAGTGTTACTATTAGCATGGTGTGTGTATGTTCGGATGCAAGAATGATATGTAAAGATCATGGTTCCTTTACTCACAATCAGCTTGCCTCCAGCTTTGGTTCCGCTTGGATAGTACAGGTATTCTTCGGACTATGCACCAAGAACAGCGCCCACCGAAGCTGTCATTTTCATCTAAACATTGTGTTCACGAGGTCAGCTGAGTGCTGTTGGCCTTGCGGACTACACGCGCTCGTTTCACCACCCCCATACCGTGCCGCACCTAGGCCTCACCTTCCACTCTCGTACCACGACCGTACATGTTAGGACTGTCTTCTCGACCATAACGGACTCTGCAGTGCATGAACTATCGAGAGGGCAGTAAGTCTGTTCTACTCTTTCATAGATCATTAACTCAGTTCTTTAGGAAGACTGACGCAAACGTAGTTTCGCTATGGTGGAAATCAAGGAGCAAGAGAGTACATTGGACATCGCTGTGGTTGGTAGCGCGTCAACCGGGAAGAGCTGCCTCGCGCTGCGATACACAGACGGGAAGGACATGGAAGCAGAAGTCCTAAAGAAGGCAGTATGCGGTGCCACTCTAAGTGCTGGATGTCGGGTGAGTCATCACGCGCACGATTCACCAGCTTAGTATTCTTCTGTCCTCGAGACTGGCGCTCAAAACTGTTCAATCAGACGCGAAAGGTCGAGTGCGAAGGCAAACGTGTTGGTGTACATGTATGGGTACGTTAATTCTGTTTGGTTCAATACACCGTCGTCCATGGTTTTATTTCTCGCGCTGATTGGCACGCTTCCGCCCGTTTCTGCGCATTATTCCAGGACACTGCAGGACTGGAACGCTTCCGCGCTATTACTCGAAATTACTACCACCGAGCGCAGGGGATACTCCTGGTGTACGATGTCACAAGGCGAGATACCTTTGACGCTTTACAATCTTGGTACGACGAGATCAAGAAGTACGCACGAGACGGCGTGGTCGTTGCCCTTGTCGGGAACAAGATCGATGAACAGGTATAACCCCACCTCCTTCCGCAACTGTATCCCGAAAATTCTGAGAAAAATTGTAGGATTCTCCGCGTCAGGTATCTTACCAGGAAGGGCACGAATTTGCTCAACGGCATGATATCCTTTTCTTCGAAGTTTCCGCCTTCACTGGACAGCGTGTTGAAGATACATTCACACAAGTCATCAGACGAATGCTAGTGCCGGGTGCACGCACGACTGCGGGGCCGGCCGCTCGGTCTGTCGAGCTAGACAACCCCTCGATTGGGGCCGCGCCCACCACTAATTGTTGGTGTTAATCCCCATATTATTATTGCTTCTGGATCGTCAGAGCCCAGAAAATAACTAGATCCGAGATGTTATAGATGGTTACTGCAGTATTCTTGTTAAACAAGTGCATGAAAATCCACGGCGATGCTGATGCTTGCGTTCAATATTCTGCGATATATAAGTCTGTGGCGCTAACCCTAACCTAATACCAACCAACGCTTTTCCGGATGCCATCACGACGCCCGGGTCTCTGACTCCGCCCACCATCTCTGATGGTCGTAAACTTCAGCAATCGCTACCATTCTACGCAAAGTGGGCTACATACGTGCAAAAAAAATAGATTCCGGCCAAGATTCAGGGGTATGGTGGGTCCATGTAGCGTGATGACTTGGACGCGTGCTGCTAACACAGCCTGCGGCTGGTCCAACACCATCAAGATAGGACAATGCCACCGAAAGCGCTTGATACCTTCCGAGCCCTCAAAAGCTCAAGCATTAGACCAAACACAACCTGTGACGCCCCGCGTACTTCCCCCAAGGGCTGCATCGCCTAATCCACCCTTTTTGTTCACCTAGGGAAGCTTGGAGATGCTATCTCGAGCTGATACAATACAGGTGGCTTGGTTGATTGCTTGTATCAAACCTTCCATGACACGGGCAGCCGACACTTGTCCGCCTCAAGAGCAACGGAACACATCTCGCTGATTACCGATTCAGGATAAGGCAGTTTCGCATACCGCTTTCCCTCGCACAGCACAGGTCCCTGATGCCAACTAGTCGAGCGCACTGTAGTCTGCGTCCACGTGAAAGCCCCTATAGAGTCTGGTGTCAAATTCAAGGTTCTTACATTATAGCTACCGCCGCGTTCTCACTCTATTCGCGAGTACAATTGTCGTCATGGCGAGACTACACACAACATCATCGCTCTTATGGTTCCTCATTACTTCTCGCTATCACCGCGCCGCATATTTCTAGCGATTCCATGATTGCTCGACTCGGAAAGCAGCCCTCCTCCAACTCTCCTTCCCCTCCCCTTTAAACCCGATCGAGAGCAAGCCTGCTGGGTTCAGCATGAACAAGGGGGCGGATTTCAGAACTTTCGTGAGATTTTCTTGATCTACGCAGCCTATGAGACATATCTAACGCATTACGTTGGGGTACGGTCGTTCAGATACAAGAGGTGCAAATGCCGAGCTGGCATGCGATAGCAAACGCGGTGCAGAGTATTGATGATGTGAAGATCAAGGACTGCAAAGAGGACGTCGATACGCTCCTTGTCTTCGTACGTCATCCTCAGTTTTTCAAGTTAAGTTGCTCATTGACTGGTACCTCTAGGCCGGATTGTTTTCAGCCGTCATGACATCTTTCATTATCGAATCCTACACCTTTCTGCAGACAGATTCGGGTTCTGAGATCGCCTCCCTTCTACGCCAAATTGTCGCGGCGAACTACACTATTTCTGCCAACCATGTCAACTCGACTGTCCCTATCCCTGCCACGTTCGCGAGCGATCCACCGCCGTGGGCCCTACGCATAAACGAGCTGTGGTTTGCAAGTCTCATCTGCAGTCTTGCGACAGCGTCAGTTGGAATGCTCGTCAAGCAGTGGTTGAAAGAATACGCAGCCTTCGCTCGTGTCTCTCCTCGAGAAAGACTTCAAGTTCGCCAGTTCCGCAACCCCGGCTTGTCGACGTGGATGGTTCTCGAGATCGCCGCTGCCCTTCCCATACTCCTTCAAATTTCCCTCGGCCTTTTCTTTATTGGCCTCTGTTTCTTCACTGCCGCGGTTGACCCTCGCCTGGGCCGCTCTTCCCTTTTCCTTGTTAACTCATGGGCGTTCTTCGTCCTCATGACCGTCGTGGCTCCTCTCTTTTCGCCACGGTGCCCCTTCAAATTACCTCTACTCAAAGGTCTTACGAAGGGCCTGCGCAACTACGTTGTTCGTCCGCTGTGCTCCCAGTTCATTGGAGTGCGGCTAGACAAGGAGGAGGAAGACATCGTCGCGACACTGAGCGATGACATCCAAATTCTACTCTTGGTCGACAAGCAGATGGCCGACGATGGTATGCTGCGTCTTATGGTCAACCATCTCAGCGAGTCTGGACGGCCCCCTTCCGACATTGTGGCATTTGTTCACACGGTTATCGATAATCGTTTGAGGCCCGCTCTCCAGCCAACAAAGAGTGGCTCGCTTTCGGATCTCCGTATTCTATCTAGGCCGGCTTGGGAAGCTCTCGTTGACATTCTCGCAGATGCATTGCGGGACTGGTACCAAGGAGGTTCCGGAACTGACTCCAAATGGGCTGAAGAAGTCGTACACCTGCTGCTATCTACGTCACAATACCTCCTTCCTACTGTTTCCCCCTCTATCCGTGCTCTCTTGGAGAGCGATGCGCAGCTGTGCATTGTGCTCGACACTGCGGAGCGAACACACGTTGACCCAGAGACGGTCATCAACTTCCTCTTCCTTGTCATCAACCATCGAGCGCATTCTCTCGATCCCGACGATTGCGCCCGTACTCCTCAGCTGCCGCTTAAACTGCACACTTTCTCTGAACCTGCTCTGGCCAGCATATGCTCTATGCTAGCAGGGGCATTGAGCTCTAACGTTTCCCGTGCGGACTATCGTTCGATGCCAGCATGGGCGTATAACGCACTTCTGTTGCTCCTTTCGGACTTTCCGCTGCCCAGTGATCCGGGTCACATTTCGCGTGCTCTCCTGACTTGCTTGGACGATGCCGATTTGTGGTCGGACCAAGCGCGAGAGACCATGAAGTGTAGAACTGGACGCGAGCTCGCGGAGCGAATCTATGGAGATAGGCCGTTATATCCTCTTTCCATCCGGCTGCTTTGCCCCCTTAACGACATGAGCCCATCCACATCCGCTGGCCCCTCGCATACATCATTTCTCGTGAACGTCCTTCAGTTCTACTCTTCGGTCCTTCTGCGCAAACTCGGTTCAAACTTACCAGAGACGCGCCCGCTCTGGAGTATTCTGCGCTCCAATCCGGAGCTGTTCGAGAATTCATCCGCCCGTCCGATTCTCAATGATCTCTGGGATTTTCTTCGCGAGTCTTCACGACTCTATCTTGAGAAGCTCGCTACGCGCGTTGTGGTCGGATTTGAGGACGTCTTTCGGGCGACGTTGGAGTTCGGCATGCGACATCCAGATGTCAAAGTGCAAGAGGCGGTGCAGGAGCTGTGGCGGGACGTGGCTCGGAACGGCGAAAGCGACATCGTCAGGTTCCATCTCACCCTCCTCACCGCTACGAGGCGTCGTGCACGTCTTGCGGATTCACTCCAACACCTGGCCGCGCCTGTTGGTAAGCGCATTTCACAACAATCTTCGAAAGCAGCTTCCTGAATACTTCGCAGAACTCTTGCAGCCCATAGCAAGCGAGCTAGAACTTCGTTCTGTTCGTCGCTATTCTGAAGATCTAGAAGAGCTCGACCATGTCAAACTGTGCTCGCTCTGCCTGGAGCTATACAAGGCAGAACTGACGCTCCGTGGCGAACGTGACGGAGCCCTGGCCCAAGATCGAACGTCTCTGTGGCTGGATCTCGCCGGGTGTCTTGACGGATATCGCGAGCGGATACATTCTGGTGGTTGGCCCATCCGCAGAGAACAGAAGTACTGGCACGATCCAACTTGTCCTGCCGAGACGCTTCGCCAGTTGCTAGACCAGGATCGCATCTGGGCCGACCAATGCATGAAGCTCATACGAGAACTCGAGGCTGGCATTTTCAGGGCGGGACAGCCGAAAGCATCGATCCCGGATAAGCTGAAGGCGGCCATCTCGTATTTTGCGACCTCCGACAGCGGCCTCGCGAGCTCGAGCACTCTGATTTGAGTAACTATATGAAACGTCGGTGTGTAGCTTCAGCAGAAGAGCAGCCGTGTCTTGTGCTCATGATTACCATATATTAGATGTATAAGTAAGCTATGATAAGATGCAGTCACTGGGGGTTTTGTAGCCTTCGTTGTAATGTCAGACGGTGAAAAATTACTAACATTCGAACTTGAGTAAATACTCGTGTGAAGATCTACTGTATGTACGGTAACCGGAGAATATTGGCCATGGCGTAGTCGGGATAACGTGAGGGCACCTCATTTTGATGAGATACCTTGTTTCTGCCTACACGAGTGTTTCTTTCCTCGCCGACCAGAGAGCGAGCGGGCCCATGACGGGCTACACCAAGCAATATATATCCTTCGGGCCAACGGTGGCCGGTGAGCGTCATTTGGGCTCGGGTTTGTTCGGCGCTCAAAGCAGAGCCGGACCAAACTCGTCGACGTCAGGCTTTACTCCGACTTCAACGTCGTCTACTACAGCGAGCAGACATGCTTTCACAACGTATTATTGCCATTGCACGCGGGCGGAGCGTGGTATCTGGCAGCCGCGCGAGCGCGATTGCGCTCTCCCGAGCATGGTGCGTTGCAACCTACCTGCGGGGTTTTCGCGCTGCTCATCATGTCCGTCCAACGAGCAGGGAGGCTTCACATTCATATACTAGGAAGGCCAAGTTTCACTCTTCAAAACTTTTGCAAGGTGCCGAGGCATGCTGAAGTTTGCCGCATCTGAGTGCTGACGCTGCTCCGTAGCTGAGACCGTGAAGGTCCCTCAGATGGCGGAGTCGATCTCCGAGGGAACCCTGAAGTCGTGGCTCAAGCAACCGGGCGAGTTTGTCAACGCAGATGAGGAGGTTGCCACCATCGAGACCGACAAGGTACGTGAACTATACTACCGCTTAGCGTGCCATACTGATATGCCTTCTCGTTGGGTAGATCGACGTCTCTGTTAACGCGCCGACCGCCGGCACTATCACAGAACTGCTTGCCAGTGAGGAGGATACTGTTACTGTTGGACAAGATCTCTTCCGCATTGAGCCCGGTGAAGGCGGAGCTGCGTCGCAACCCAAAGCGGAGTCGAAAGAGGAGCAGACCGACAAGACCTCGGAGAAGACTCCGCCGCCTCCGTCACCCGCCAAGGAAGACGTGAGACAAGAAGATACTGCCGGTGTGCAGGAGGGCACACAAGACCAGACGCATTCAACACTGTTCATTAACAAGTCCTGATCGTTAGCCATCAGCTGTAGTGTCTCAGAAAGGCGCTCTATGCCAGAAGCATCTTTGCGGGGTCCTGGAGGTAGTCGCGAACCTTGACTGAGATAGGTATTGAGCGAAAATGGGCATATCAAATCGGGAAGAGATACGTACCGAGGAATGTGACAGCCTCACGGCCGTCGAGGAGACGATGGTCATATGTGAGGGCGACGACCATGATGGGGCGAATCACAATCTGGCCGTCGACGACGACGGGGCGGTCTTTGATCGTGTGCATGCCTACACATACGCGTGAGAAACCGGGTAGGGACGTATCAGATAGAAGCATACCAAGAACAGCAGCCTGAGGTAAGTTAATAATGGGTGTGCCGTAGAGTGAGCCGAATACACCACCATTGGAGCTACAAGCGAGGTTAGCATACACGACGCACAATGGAGCTGAGAACGGTCTCACATGGTGAAGCTGCCGCCAGCCATGTCCTCGATGGTGAGCTTGCCGTCACGGGCCTTCTTGCCGAGATTCGCAATCTCGCGCTCAATCTCAATCATAGTCATACTCTCGGCGTTGCGGACGACAGGTGTAACAAGGCCCTTGGGAGTGGCGACCGCAACGGAAAGGTCGACGTAGTCGCGGTAGACAATATCACCGCCGTCAATGCTAGCATTGGCGACGGGAATCTCCTTGAGGACAAGACAGCATGCTTTGGCGAAAGCGCTCATGTAGCCGAGCTTGATGTCGTGGGCCTTAAGCACTTCGTCCTTGTACTTCTTGCGGAAATCCATAAGAGCAGACATGTCGATCTCGTTGAAGGTAGTGAGCGAGGCAGCAGCGTTCTGGGACTCTTTGAGACGTTCGGCAATACGGAGGCGCATACGGTTCATCTTAACACGGTTCTCGCTGCGGCTGAAGGCGACCTGCGGGGGAGGAGCTTCAGACTTGGGCTTAGCTTCGGATTTGGGTTTGGCTTCGGACTTGGGCTTAGCCTCCTCCTTGGGTTTCGACGGCTGTGATTTGGATGCAGGCTTGGAACTCTCCTTGAGCTCCTTCTTCTCTACGAGTTCGATCCTTCATGCTTTCCGAAACTTTATAATACACCACCTTCCGAGGCCTTCGTTCCAGAGCTTGCACGGCTGGTATCGCCGAGCTGCCTTTCTCGATCAGCTCTCGCCCTTCACGATTCTCCGCTACCAATGGATGGCAAATACTGACACAGCTCATGCTGATCATGGTCGCCAGACTGCAATGTGCAACTGTCGGTGGCTCCACTTAGCTTCTGGTGGTAGGTCCGTCTGTCCCACTGCCAAGTCACCCACATGCACGGTGAATCTCTGGCCGTACTGCACCCCTGTCAAATTCAGTATGGCAATTCATAACCCCCTAAAATGTCGTGACGCATTGGGTGCAATGACATGAGCACCCCAGATTCGAGCGAGCAGATACTGTATCTCCGGTGCTAGCGCGTGCAGGCGTTCATGAGGTTTGTCATAAAAATTCAAAGCGTAGGCATGCGACACATTTTGCCGAGAAGTAGGCTATCACATAGCAAACTGTGGCCGAGGATTCTCTACATAAAGAGGCCGTCTTATTCACTGGATGTTACATCTGGTACAATACGCATGAAAGAAAATGTAGGTATTTGCTCACTGCCTATTAATACACCAACACCGGTACTCTTAGCTAAGGCCTATACGAGTATGCTAGACATAGGTTCCTGTATCCCTAGAAGCTCTTTAGATACCACCTGGACCCAGTCTAGGCTTCCAGAGGCGCGGAAGACAGCGGTGAAACATCATCTGGAGCACGCCTGAACGTGCCTACCAACCCCTTCTTTGCGCACCTCGACAGAACCACAATGCGATCGTCCACGGACCCGGACGTGGGACAGTCTAAGCCTGCATCATTCTCCGCAAGTACTTCTGAACCGAGGATCTTCTCCCGCCAGCTGGCGATGGGGCACCACTGGACACACCCATTAGCGGGTAAACCACGAGCACAGTCCCCACAGAGCGGGATTTCGCAAGGTCGCGTCATGTAGGTCGCCGTGGCATTGCAAGAGCGGCAACGGGAACTACCCGGGTTTCAGTCCCGCCGCTCGCTAAGGAGCACCTGCAGAGACTTCACGTCCGCGAGACGGTGATCTCCAGAAGTGTCATCAGCGGTCGGGACTCCCTCTTGGTAAGAGTCGAACCACGGGAGTTTGGCGTTAATATACGTGGAGATGCTTATGGGCGTCGATATGGGCGGTTTACCTGTGAGCCGAGCCAAACTTATGGGGTCGAGGATGGTGATATGCAGCCGGGATCCCTTCTCGAGATTGTATGCCGTCGGGTGTAAAGGATCTCGAACGATTTTCTGCACGATTTGACCACCGGCGGCGAAGCCCTGCAATTGGGCCTCAGAGGATTCAATGTGCCCACCCCCGCCACACTGTTCTTCGAGCCAATACAATCTTGATCCATTCATGATATCATGATCTGAAAAGCACAGATAAAAAATGTAACGTTGCGAGCCCATGCCCACCATACACACAAGAAAAGCTCCGATTACAGCAAAGCCGGTTTCCATCAAATAGAACGCGGCACCCATAAGGTTTGAGGCCTACCCTGGCTGCGACTGCGAGCTCAAGTGGGTCCACAGTACACGACAAGTCGACGATAGATGCGAGTTCTTTGCCATGTCTGGGATTCAATGGTTCAACGTAGACTGGGAGCATATGCGGAAGTCATCAGTCGAGACGACAAGCATTGAACGCCACCGATATACTGAGCGTCCCGGGCTGCGCAGACAAGTGCAATGTCCATAAATACCATGGAGGACTTTGGATGTAAGTGCTGTTGCTGTCATCTTCCGCCAAAGAGTGAATAGCGCGAACCAGCAGCTGTCAATGTGAGGCAACTTGTTTGAGTCCACGACGGCGCGCCTACGAGGATCTACGAATTTGACTTGCCGCCCCAACTGCAAGCTTTGCTGTCGAGCAGATTTATATGGATCGAGCTTGCTGTTGTCGTCGGTGTGGAGCAAATTGGACGGCACATCGTATAGAGGGTGCACGTCGATTTGTATACCTCCAACGTCCTAAAATTACTAGCGGTGAGACCGGATGTCGCCCGTGTGCCATTACTAGCTCACCAACCTCCTGTCCGGTAAGTTGCGATTCCACGCTTGGACTTTCTCCGAGTGGCACGGCCACAAATTCTGCAGGCGAGAATAATCAGTAAAGATCAGAACAGATGGGTGTAAAGCTTGAGGTCTGACGTCGGACGTGTCCCTCTTTGGTGCTAAAACCATCCTTCAGGGAACGTTAGTCACGGAATATGATTCAAAACACAAAACGACATGCCAGCCACCTGAAAGCATTTTAGTGTTATGAGTGAGTAAGCATGCGCAAGAGCCATACTTACGGTTGACCGCGACCATCCTCTCTTATTGCCAAATAATCTTGTTTATTGACAGCTATAGCATTGCGAGGCAAGCCGGTCAACGCATTCAGACCACCTGCAGAGATCTTGACAGCATATGCAGCAAAATCTCCTAAAACTCTGAATTTCATCCACATTGCTTCGCATTGGTGCATACTCTACAGTTTCAGTTAGTCAAGTCGGTAGCATGTGTAGTTTAGGATACCTACCATGAGAATTCCTCCCTCAGCGACGATCGATCGTGGGAGTCGATCGGCGAAATCTGCAGCATTGCTGAGAACTCATGAGTATACTATGCAAAAGCCACAATGGGATCACTAAGGTGCCACGCACAATAATGGGAATTTGCTGAGGCCAGCGGGCAACGCATAGGCTTTGCCGTCATCTAGGAAACAAAGATGATAGGAATGATTCTGTATATTTGTAAGCAGGACTAACCGGGCACCCTAACCGTCCCATTTGACGGATCCATTAACTTAGCGAATGGTCGAGTTTCTGAACAAGACATACCTCATAAAGCTAATATTTACACCGCTAACATCAACATCACCCTCCCACCAAATTCGAGCATTGTCGACGTCCTTGGGTAGGTCATTCGAGCTGTTTTCTCCCTTGGGATCCGGCACTCCAGTGGCCCGCAGGAAAGTCTGGTGATAGTAGCGACACAGCGGCCCATCGCTACATGAACAACATTATGAGATAGTCGACATGCCGAGATATGCGTTTTGTAACATACACATTGACAAAACCAGACATCGTGCCGAGGTCGAGTGTTGACCGCTCCTTCGTTACCTTCGCTGAGACTACCTGCCCATGGGCGACGAAGTTCCTCGGTGCAGGATAACCTGCGCTTGGGACGTTAGCATGGTGCTACCAGTTGAGTTCAGGAAAGTCCCACCATTAGCTTCCAGCTGCTTGACGAGGTATTCGAAAGATAGGGGAACCGGAACGGCTCTCAGAATGACCTGTTTGGGCTTCTCGTCCAGCTTGAAAGCAGAAGGATCGATGACGACGTCGATGGCCCGACTTTCCCCACTAGGGCATGATTCGCCTCTGCGCTGGTCGTCCGAGGAGTTTGATTCATTGTGATGAACGCCACGTAGATGCAGATGCGAGGCTATATGTGCGCGGACTCCAATGTTGTCACAGTACAGGCGAAAGATACGTGGGCAGCCGTACCCGTACGGCGCATACAAAGACTATATATAGATCCGAGGGATAGTCAACCTTTCGCGTAGGCCAGCTCTTGAGATTGAGACAAAGTATCTCGATCAAGGGGTAAAATAGAGAATGTTCAGGAGTTGGAAATTCTGTGCCGCCTGTGCAAAATCGGGCTCCGGCGACCAACTTGAACGTTTGAACGTGGGAAGGCTCAAACGTCAAACGTCAAACTTTCATCAGTGCGCAAGACAAGGGAGGACTTGGAAAAATCGCGCGCTTTTTACTTCCTCTAGCACAACTAATCTCGTTCATATCCCGCGTCGTTCCCTCCTTTCTGGCTGGTGGACGCGTGTTGTGGACTCCCATATAAATATTATTGTGCCAAGCAATGTAAGTCAGAAACCATGGGATGAGTTTAATGCATATGGTCGGATTAATTGATATCGTTCGGCCGTAGAGCATAGCTTGTTAGCGTTGTTCTCACCTTCATGCACTGTGATTCTCCTCCAAGTGTCTTTGAAGCCGATCTCGAACGCAGCCGGTCAGCAATAGATAAATGTTTCGATGAACGCTGGACGTAGATACTGTACAGGACGGGATCGCGTATTGTGCGGTACAGTGTTCCGATCCGCTCAGCGAGAATGGACGAATCGAAGTGAGGGATCGCGGGCAGGGGCAGAGGATGAGTTGTGTTAGTAGTTCGAAGGGTCAGACGACAGTATCGAGACGCTATCTGCAGTGCGCACGAACGTCCCAACAATACCTTTCTCTGCACACCTCGATAGCACCGTAGTGCGTTCGTCGGATGAGCCAGCAGCGGGACAGTCCCGACCTGCCTCGTGCTCTGCAAGGGCTTCCGCCATAAGCTTCTTCCTCTTAATGACAACTCGACAATTCTTTGGACATTCGCCTTCGGGGAGGCCGTCCGCACGGTCCTGAAAAAGTAGATGCCCGCAAGGCTGTAGCTGGAAGGTCGCAGTCGTAGTGCAGTAGCAACGCCTGTAACTCGCAGGATTCGTGTACCTTCGTTCGGCTAGTGTCGCACGTAGTGACTTAACAGCGGCGAGCGGGTGATTGGGAGAGATGTTGTTTATAGCAGGGACGCCCTCGTCGTACAGAGCAAACCAAGGCAAGCCTTCGTCAAGATACGTCCTGGCGGATTTGGGAGTGTATATTGGCGCTTGACCGGTGAGTTGAGATAGGAAGGTTGGAGTCAGGATTGTGACGCGGAGGCGACAGCCTGCGTCGAAGTCGTATGCAGCAGTAGGTAAGCGGTCGCGAATGATCTTCTGAGAGATCTTGTCGCCAGCTGCAAAGCCTGCGCCGCGGTCGTTAAAGCTATCTCCTCCTCCACGTAACCTGAGAATCAGGTGCAGTGTACTCTCGTTGGTGACGCGACATTCTGGTATGTACGACAGTCACGGTCAGTTACGTTGACGAGCACAAAGACGAACGATATACCTGCGAAAGTCTCTTGATCTGTCATTTCATGACTGCAGAAGATCAACCGCTGTAGCTCTACAGGGGCGACATCCTTTTCCTGGATCATGAATTTGACGTCTGCAATAGTGTCCGAGTGATTGACGTCCAAGGGAATGATCCTGCCAGTAAGGCCCCTGATGTAGATTTTCACTATTGTTTGTGCAATAGTAAGACGAGGCAGGATTGAGGTGAAATCAGCATACTTTCAGCATTGCAGAACTTGCCCACAGCACATAAATACAGCACTGATTTAGAGTTCGACAGCTCATATATGTCCCTCTGGGCCAAACATGCAGGGTTAGGAAGGGAGTCAGGATCGTTTGTTAAGATTCGCTCATATCTGCGTACCCATGCTCGTCTATGCAAACGATACTTTGACCAGTGCGGAGGTCTTGGCCGTGTGCCGAAAAATTCTTGTCCAGCCGGACTTGCCTCGGGCCATAGAAGGAGGAAGGTGCATCGTAGGGGTGAAAAACGTCAATCCGCATTCCGCCCAGGTCCTAGTAGCCGGTGTATTACTTCAGGACTATCACGGCGGATTGGGAGAAGTTAGCGAACCTCCTTTCCGGTGAGAATGCCGCCTTCGCACGCAATAGATTGAGGAAGCTGAAGAGCGAAGTCCGCAGCGTGGGATATATAGTCAGTAGAGATGCTCTCTGAGGAGACGATTCACTTACAAGTTACTACAGAGGGAATCTACCGAGCTCAACAGGTACTAGAGCGTAGGTCTTCCCGTCATCTTCCACCGATAATGAATATGCACATAGGGATACGAGTATCAATCATGCTACAGCGTACCGGGTATCCTGAGGGTCCTAGAAGCACCGTAAATAAGAACACTGCCCACAGTGTGTCAAACATACATACATCATGAAAGCGATTGAGACACCTCCGATATCCACTGTGTCACCGCCGCTGCCAATTTTGGCATAGCTAAGTCCGGGCAACGCATCCTTCTCCGCATCGGTCTGATGTTTGTAGCTCTATCTTGAAGATATCACGCAAATGATTGTGGTAGTACCGACGTAAGGGCTCATCGCTGTAATCCAGTGAGATACAGGCAATAATGACTAACACGAAGACACTCTTACGCGTTGATGCATCCACTCAGTATACTAAGATCAAAAGACGACGATCTGTCCAATGTTGAGAGTGGCCCGCGTACGCGTGCTGGACCCTGTCGGCACCGGAAACTCTGGACTCGAAGATTAAGTATATGATATCATCGCATTATGCGTTCTGCTGACCGTTCAAACGCATCTGGGCAACAAGGTAGTCGAACGAGACCGGAACCGGAATGTCGTGAAGCTCTAGTCGGTCTGGTTTGCCTACTGCGTTGGTCGTATCGATCACAACCTTGACCGTCTTCTTGGTCCGCTCGGCCTGCACATTCTGACGGAACTTCGAGAACATCCTGGGCAAAGGCCAAAAATGGCGCACAGCTAGCGGAACTGGTGGTTCGGAAAATTAGTCTCGTCCCCAGCGATTCTTTACCTGTTGGAGTTAGAAGCGGATGGGAACGAGCTCGCGAATAACGCAGAAAAGCGGCGAAGATGGGCCCGAGCCTCTAGTGTCGAGGTTTTCTTATCCTGCAGGCACGAACTGATTAGCTTCAACCAGGTACGAGGTATTGTACACCCCAGTCGGGACACCTCAAGCGCGTTATTGGCGGATTTTGAGCTGATATGTCAGAGTTTAAAGCACAGCCCTTTCGTGCCCAAACCAAATTGGGACATACTTTGGGCGGTCCTGGATGTAAATACAATGACTGCCTCGTCCCGAGTCTATTCCAGTAGGGTGTGAACGTGGATCTATATATATATTACAACCCAATAGCAGTCAGTGCAGCGTCTGAACACAGAATTTGTTGCGCACGAAAGGACGTGGTGTGACCAGTAAAATGATATTGATCCGGCGCATATGAACTCCTCAGAAGCTCTCCTCCTCAGCAACTTGCGGAAGTCGCGCCTCTTTCAACAGGGGGTCTTGCTCAACGGTGTCCTCATGGACCGCAAGCAGACCTTCTTCAAGCGAGATATCCTCGGCCGGCACTGCTTGGCTCCGTGCACGTTTATGCTTTCCTGTGTCTTCTTTCATCACCTGTAGAGAGCGAGCTGGCTGAGTACAACGGATCTAAATTCAGGAATCGGGGTGTGAAAGAGCTACGTACAGCGACGTAGACGGCCGATAACACGATTATCAATGTCCCAAAGACAGACATTAGCGATGGGGGACTGTGGAAAAATACTTGGTCGAATGTCATCGCATAGACGACCTGTTGGAACCGTGAGAACCGTCAAAGTGGCGCGCGAGGTCGACGCAAACCTCACCTGAGTGTAAACAGCCATGGTTCCTCGCCCGACAGCTTCACGTTGCAACCCCATGGTAAGCAGCAGCTATAATGTCAAATTGTCAGTAGTCAGCTGTCCAACGGTTGCGGAGGCCACATACCTGAGCAAAGAAACCGAAGACTCCGATCATCAGCAGCATGGCGATCCAATCAAGCCTCATCGGTAAGACGAATTTGGTTTGCATAGCAATCATCCTAATAGCATTCAGCGACCGGAAACGGAAGCCGTGGAACAACTTACGAGATGGTAGATACGATGACACATTGAGAAGAAAATGAGACAACGTTGTGGAGAGGGTGCGCTCGCATGCCTATAGCCCGAATAGTGGTGTCTGGGAAAGGGTCAGAACAGCGAAAAACTACTCTTAAAAAGAGGTACATACATGCACCGGTAGTGCCCAAGACGCCGAGCATGGCAATACTTCAGGACCAATGAGCCTAATTTAGAGCGGCCAGTTGTTTAGTGCACTTACCCTATTGCACCAAGCCTCTGCGCAGGCATTACATGATATGCTGGAGAGACGTCTTCTACCACGTTCCCTGTCCCGTCAGACAAGGAGATGTCGGAAATTGGAGATGCACGCCCGAACAGAACCGCCGGACGTGCTATCAGAATGACTCCGAATAAGCTGCATACTATAACCAGTCAGCATCACTTCCGGCACTAGAAACGACCTATACATACATCCAGCCCCAGCTTGCCTCCAGTAAAGCGACTCGCCGAGAAACAGGGCACCAGTCACAGTAGCGAACATGGGCGCGAGGAAAGTGAGGACGGTTGCATCCGACAGTGAAAGATATTGAAGAGAGTAGTATACGCCAAACAGGCCAAAGAATCTACAGAAATTCATGAGCCTTTAAGTCTGAACTGTCGCCTACTTCCACTAACAACGCACCCGAAGAACCCCCGAAAAGCAAGCAGTAGTCGGACTCCCTTAGGCCCCAGGAATGGATCGGGAACCTTGGTGATGTACCTGAAACATTCTTTGTTAGCTTGGAGCCGTCTAGTCCCGCGGAGATGCGTACATATATGATACACAGCACAACCAGGTGATAACCTATCATGCGCAGTATTTGAGTACGATTTCGGCTGCAGAATGGGCGATAACGACACACCATTCTAATGCATACGAGTTCCATAGGAGTGACGGGTGGGTCTAGACTGTTTAGCTTCTTCACTGCCACATTCATGAGCGCGAAAAAGCCCTGCAGGTTAGAGGTGGTCACGCGACGCGCCAATTTTGCCCAGGACAGACGTACGAACCTGAGACGACGCAACCAAAAGCATTCCCGTGTTATTTCTGATAACTCCCCTCGTCTTGAGGTTGAAATCATGCCATGCATCCTGAAACTTGTCTATGTAGCTTCTGGGACTCGCTGCTGGGAGAACTGGGGTGTTTGCTGGGGCGCGAATGCCGGTGAGATCCTGGTCCGCCGAAGAAAAGGACAGACGGTCTGGTGTAGCAGCGGTGTAGACTGTTCGTGAGGCCGTCATGTCATGAAGGTGGTAGCAAAGAGAAAAAGGCCGTCGTGGGGCAGCTGTGGGACCTCCCAGCCGCGCTTGGACTGGTACTCCATCAACTCGCATCAGGCGTGCCTTGCCGAGCATCAGCCGAACCGGCATTAGCACGTGATCGGGCCGTGCGCCACAAAGCCGTCCGCCGCAGCTCGCTAGAACTCTTATACTTAACCCTTCAATTATGAATGGTTTGGCCCATAGACCTCTGCTGTAAGCCTGGAATCAGTAAATATCAACGCACGTTCAAACATTTTTCAGTCTTGTCGTTCAATAATTACATGGTATTACACAAGTGCCACTACTACAATGCATGTTTGGGAGCGTTCTGCCAAGTGGGCAAGGAGCTGGCGTGTACTGTACGCTGCAGTGTTGTTTTGCGAGCGCCTATGTGGCCGACTTCAACGAAATGCGAATCCTCCAAGAACCATTTTGATTGGGATCAGCTCCTAAAGGTAGCTTAAACATCGAGGGGAGAAAGCAGGAGAGTCTCGTGGAGGTATCGCAACACAGCCACCGGCGCAGACGACTCAATCAGAGCTGTTCAATCAGGTCGCTTCCCGTGTATGGCGCCCGAGCTGGTAAGACTTTGTCTCCTTTCCGCGTCCCCGAATGAATTCGACTGAAATAAAATGACGATAGTTTGATCAGATTAGAAATCGGAGCACGGGGGCGCGCTGCTGACACCGGGGTGCGGGGGCATCATCTCCGTAAGGCGCATCAATGCCTCGGCGCCTCGGGGATAATAGCAAGCGTCACGGGATAGCAAGCCACCTGGTGTTTCATTAGGATATCCTACGCCTCCGCGCCGATAAGCTGTATGACCGTGCGGGACCGACATACTGTACGAGTTTGAAGGGACACAACCCAAGCCAGCATTCGTGCGAGCAACGGCGAGCGCCGAGTTACTGTACCAAAATAAGTAGATTCGGAGTATTTCCGGGAAATTTTACTCGAATTTAGCTCGAATTGGTCCGGCAGATTCGGTGCGGGTTGCATGACTCAAAAATTGCAACTTATGGAGAGGCCAGTGACACTCAAACTCGTACAGTAGTAAAACCGCGGACTGCGAAGCTCCCCGGTCACTTACATTGCAGATAGCGGAGACATCTCATGTGCAGATACGACGGTATTGTCAGACGATCGGTGTATTGTCAAATGCGCCCCTGCGGCACTCGCGGAGGCTAATTTCTATAGCGTCGTTGGCTCCTTCTCTTCGTCGCACCTCTGCACGTTGTCCGTGTGTTTGATCACTCTGACACAGAGACAGGTTGTATTCTAGCGTGTCCTGATGATGATATTCGGATGTTTTCGATATCCCCGCATACGCAGATACTGCCCCACATTTGTAAGGAGCCTTATCCAGACCCTGTGGATTTCGAAGCTATTTCATCCAGTTGGCGACCATGACGCTGCGCTGACGGTCACGAAACTTCAGACCGGAACGGAGGTATATCTGAATTGTCAGTTTGCCGGAGGTACGCTCTGCGAGTTTGGAATTGACACTCAGCTTTTACTATGTATGGGTCCTAGACGGTGCCGTGCTATCAGAGGCAAAACTTCGGATCCTCTCCTTCTGAGCCTGTTAGCTACTGTCAGCCGCCCCCTAATCGGCCAAGCCCAGCACTCGGCCAACCGTGTATTCTGGGCTCAACAGCATTGTTGTAGCATAATATGGGGCCTCAAATATATCAATAGTATTCATTTCTATATAACTGTATAATCTTATTAAGATCAGTCAAAGGGGACTTGAGCTATGCGTGCATTACTGCACCGAAATAGCCAGGATGCCTAAATTTGGTAGCGCGCCAGACCTTCCCCTCTCATTGACGACCATTCTTTCCACCCCATCACCATCCCCACCCTGTACAGCTGCCTCCATTATCAACATTAGGGTATGTACTACTGCCTCCCAACTTTTTGCAGTCTAATTCCGCCTCTAGGGTTCTCTGGGCACAGCTAGAACAGCAAGGTCACAGCTTGGGCAGTTCTGGAGATGTCCAAGGAAGAGGACATCGCCACTTGCAACAAAGGGTTGGGGGCGTAGGAAACACATGTTATGGATTCTGTATGGATTCTGTATATGTTATAATTTACTTCTCTTGCGCTCTCTTAATTTTATCATTTTTTGTTATGTGCCAAAGGCACATCCCTGCTGACCTGCTATTTTCATGCCTGCATAGAACTTTGTGCCATAGAAACAGAACAGGCAACTTTGCCAACATTTATCTACACCCAGAACCCGCCCCTACCTATATTTAGTGTGATACATGTGTTTTATTTTTAATCTGCGCTGTGCAACGACTGTGGAAGGCCGGATGGCGACTTGTGTACTCTCTCGGCGGCTCGGCCAAAGTTAAGCGCCCTGCTTGAGCACTGCGCGCTCCTGGCCGGCCGAGATCTATGCCAAGTGCTGTTTCTGCAGTCTTCTCACCAAAATATTCATAGTGCCTGTAGCAACAATGGAAAAATTTACCGCTTGGTAGAATAATAGTTTATGTCCATTCCAGTGGATCTGAGGTGTAGCATTTTTCTTATCACCATGCATTCACGAGTATGGAGCAAAATGCCGTAGCCTGGCCGACTTCGGGGCACAGTATCTGTTGATTTTGACTTCGTCGCGCGCTGTGACTCGCTTCCTCCTCAAATCCTTCTTCTAAGTATATCAACGCGTCGAGATACACAATTTCTTACCCGTGGCGTTTTGCAGGGAAGCAGGAAATTCTGGAGAGCATTTTACAAGCCGCGGCTGCATGCCCTGACTTCGCAAATTTGATGGATACAGGCCGGAGGCTGGAGGCGTCAAAAGGGACGCTGCAGAAGCGCTGGCGTGCTCGCCTCAAGCCTGCGCGAAATTCAGTGCCCTCCGCCTGTTGCTTGCCGAACTCATAAAATCCTGTAAGTTGTTTGACGTTGCGAAGAATGTGACTGTGAACTAAGACCTATAAAAAGTGGCACCATGCCTCAAATAGATTCGAACTATAAACGTCTCGTTTATACACTCGGAACAAGGCATAGTATACGAAAATTTTAGAGAGTCGCAGAGTGCCAAGTCGTCAACGGCAGGATGCCATATGCCGGCTCCGCGAGGTTTGCAATTTTTTTTTCTCGCTCAACGCAGAACGCTCATAGTTCATGCTATAAAATGCCCGCCTCGGGGTCTGCGCTCGCGGGTATGAACTTCCGCGCATACATTCACCTCATTGACCATACAATTTTTCAAGTTTTACCACAGACAAAAATCACATTACGTCTTTTTCATGTGCGCCAAAGTTGTGCGCCTCCGGCGTTTTACACGGCAGCCAAAAAATTTACTGTTGGAAAGAAAACATTTTCTTGCCAACGAGCCATTTTTTTGCGGCCCTGCCTAAAGGCTTTCCGCCTTATAGGCAGCAAATTGGACGAGCCTTCTCATCGTCACGCACGGTATGCCCCCACCCTGTCTGTCATCTTGTATCCTGCCGCCACCTCCCCTTTTCCCCTGCGCAGCGTCTGCGTGATGGACACCCCTCTGCATCTTGATCCTGTGGCACTTCTCTACGAGATCATGCGCTCTTGGCTTCGGTCTCACTTGCACTGTCATCCCAAAGAGCGGGCTTGGTCAACCGTTGTCAGCGTCGTACCCTTCTCCCCGACAGCCTCCGGAAACCGCCAGTGCGAGCGGATTACGGATCAAATGCTCTCTGTCAGCCGCAGCTTCGGATGCCATGCCCCTCGCGACGTGTGCGTGTGCATGCGGGGCTAGGCCAGCGCGCTGACCGGGGTAGCGAAGCAGACGCGGGGCATGTGCGGCAGGACTGGTGGGACCTGCCGCCTTGCATCGCGCCCGCTTCCTGTACAGCAATGATCTTCGCATCGCCACACGTCGCTGGCAGCTGTGCAATCGCCCTGTCAGTCTCTACCACCGACGGCTGGGCCCTGCCTGTGCGTCCTGTGCAGCCGAGTTCTCCCGCACGAGTCTAGCCCCCGCGCCGCGCGGCGAACTCGTCTGCACGCGCCTGGGGCGGGCGTTGTCCACGGCCGGAGTGCTGCCGCGGCAATGTTCCCAGGATTTCCGCCGCATGGCGGTGCACTGTTTGTGGCAGCTTCGTGCGTGACAGCGGGTTCAGAGGTAATCAAGAATCAGGCCCCAAGCTGCGCTCCGAAGACAAAGTCGGCCTTCCAAAAATTAGGCGACAACCTCTGCATGTCGCCGTCAATTTCAACAGCGTGGTTCTCGTGGCAGCCTTGGCTGGTCTAGCACCATGTGCTTACACACCGTGCTGGCAGCGGCGCATCCTTCTCCGGTGTGCGTTGTCTAGGTACAGTATGTGTGTGCCGTAACCCATCGATGGTACGATATCAGACCTCTCGGCCAGAGGAAAGGTAACCGTACACGCTCGAGGCGCGATGTATTTTGGCGTACGACCAGGTGGTACAGGTGCGTACAGGATCTACGTAAGTACACTATTTGCATTACGGGAGGTTTGATCTAATTGTGCGAATGACAGCCAGGTCTATCGACTATGTGACGGTGGGCAGAGCTACAGGAAGAAAACACTGTAGCGAAACTTTTTGGGAGCAAGAAGCGCATTAGGTATGTAATATGTAACATGTCGAAGCAGAAGCAGAGGGAAGGGAAAAGAAGAAGGAAGAGACAACGACAAAAGCGCGAGACCGGATTCCATGATGTCGACTCAGCATATGTATGAGTCGAGCCCGAGTAGAACGGTAAGGAAAAATACAGAGATGTATATGATTCGACAACAGTGGAGACGAGAGGCGAGGAATTATAGGGGATATGTACTTTTGGCGTAAGAGCAGCCAAGCGTTGTCGCGTCGTGGTGAGGGAAGAGTGAGGTGAAGAAAATCCAGCGACTTCGCCCGGGCCCGGGCCAATTTCAATAGCCACACGTCGTGTGCAAGATGACAGTCTTTCGCGTCGACGCAAGGGTACAAGGTGAGATAGTGTTACAACGGCTTCAGTCGCCCAATTTCGCCTCAGGGGGATCCGTCATGACGATCGCCGCTGCTGGGTCTGCATTTGCATCATGTACTGCATTTGCATCGGCGCGGTCTGCTGCTGCTGAGACTGCTGGCCCTGAGACTGGGGCATGACCTGCTGCGGCTGCAGGGTGTACGTGGGTGGATGCATGGTGGACGTCTGATACGACGGGGGAGCGTTGGCATTCTGACTGTAAGTTGACGCAGACTGCGCTTGCGTCGCACCCGAGGTTGCAAGAGGCGAAGAGCGCTGAGAAGTCTGGTTCGAGCTGGCAGGCGTGACGTGCCTAGAGTGAGACCGAGTGTGCTGGAGACACTCGTGCTGGCCACTGGCCAGAAGCGCGAGACCCATCGCGCCGTGGTCGCCGGAGTGCTGGTAGTGATATCCTGCGAGAAATCGGTCACATCAGTCACCAACCCTGATTTGTTAATCAAAGAAAACTTACTCAAGCCGTTCATGTTCTTGTAGCGACGCTGGCAATCGCCGACACCACAGGCGTAGGGACGGACACGACGTTCGGCTTCCCTCTCAACTTCCCGCAGCTCAGCATCGCTAAGCGGCTCACCCTCGTCACTCTTCTGACTCCGCTTGGAGGCGAGAAGCTGCTGGAGCTGCTCCAGATCCTTCGGCGGCGCGAAGTTACACGAGCCATGGGTCATGTGGTACTTGAGGCCGTTTGCCTGCTTGTAAGACTTGTTGCAGTTTAGCTTCGGGCACTTGAACGGCTTCGACAAGAGGAGCGAGGTTGCGGGACGGGAGAGTGTCGTGCTTGCACGCGGCGTCTGCGGGGCGTTATGAGAAGACGAAGCCGAGGCGGACGCCTGCGTAGACGACGAGGCTGCTGGGACGATAGCGGGCTGGATCGGATACGTCAAATTCTGACCCGAGACAGGAGAAGCGACCCGAGAATGGTCGGGGGTGCTCGCCGGAGTGGTAGCGCTGCTATTGAGAAGAAGCGCAGGTGGGACACATCCTGGCCGGCTGGCGTAGGCACCCGAGAAGTTCTGCTGATCGTCAACACTGTGGACCGCTGAAGGGTTCGTGCCAGGCATGAGGGACGAGTAATCAGAGTAGCCAGCGTAGGCATTGAAGGCATCCTCAGTGCGCGAAGCGACCGAAGGTCCAGATGAGCGCGTCGGTGGGAAGCCAACGGAAAGCGACGCGACACCGGTACGCGAGGGCATCACGGTAGTGGTGTCGAATGCAGAGATGGGTCGCGAGCCACCCGGCGACGAGGACATCGGCAACGCCTGCTGAGGATGTATGGAAGGGTAAGACGAAAGAGGTGTCGAAATCGGCGTGTCGGGGGGTGACGAAGATCCACTCGACGGAGCACTCGTACTCTCCATGTCAAGCTCCATATCGTCTGGGTCAAACGAACCTTGGTTATACGAGGGGGCCACATGGGCCGAGGGGACGTCAGAGAAGTAAGGGACAGCCGGCTGTCCGTTGGTAGACACGCCCGCGGGCACGTTCTGGTAAGACTGTTGTGGCGCATATGGGTCGACGACGACAACATGGCACTCTTCGAAATGATCAACCAGAGCGTGCATATCGTTGAGGTTGACGCCGCAGCACTGGTAGTCACGGCACTATAGAATGGCGTTAGATGATCATCTGAAATACAACAGAGATCCGAAATTACTCACCAGCTCCTCCTGACGTTGGAGGTCGTTCAATGCGTTCATGATTGACGCACCGCGATCACTTTCGATCGACGAAGCCAGCTTGCCAAATCTAAAATCATTGGGGCTGCGAAGGAGAAAATGAGGTCAACGTCGACACTTCAAGGTAGATGCTACGGCACGCACTCTAGGGGACCCATAAGCTGTCCTGGTGAGACGCCAGGATAGAAACGACTTCCGAAGGACCCAGCCCGGAAGGAGATGGGTGAGCTGATGAAGCGACGGGCATACGAGCTGGCGTTGAAAGAACCGCTCTGAGCCCCGAAGGAGCCAGGGTTCATCGTAATGTCATGCTGATTATTGCTGGAAGTAGAGGGAAGAGCAATTGGCTGGGCGCTGGCAGCGGCCATGGGATTGTAGTAGGTGTTTGCCAGTGTGTCTGTCGCCTGAGGCAGGTATTAAGCGAGGGTTGAGAGGTGCTGTTGTTATATGAGAGGTCGTTATGAGTGAAAGTCGCGGCTAGGGGCGTCGGTGCTGTGATGGACGGCGACGACGGGCGGGGGGATTGCGAATTAGAGTGGTCTGGGTGAAACCCACGACCCAGTAATATAGCTCGTGGCACGCATCCCAAATCGAGCGGAGCTGAGGGACTAGTCACCGTATTTGGACATGTTTACTCAGGGCGTACTTGGCGCCGGAGCGCTCCCACAGCGCTAGAACTATGCTGTCGGTCAGGGGTCTCACCCGACCCGACATCCTCCCTCGCCGGGAGTTCGCGTTCACTGCCATCGCCAAAGCATTGCTAGAGTAGCTTACAAGTCCTTGTACTTTGCTGGCCTGAACCGTGTAATGTCGGCTCAACCTTCGCAGCGAGCGGGGCTTGAGTCCGGCTCGCCTCGTGCTGCCAACCGCTGCCGTAAGTGAGGGCAGAGCGAATCGTGCTCGCGGGAATCCAACAGCATGTAGTGCGCCTCACTTGCCTGTCAGGAAGCACAACCTCCCATGTCCAGAACGATGTGACGGATCCTGAACGCGCTCTCATGCCCACAGGTAGAAAGCGACCGCATTGGCCATCGACTCCGAGCACAGGCCTCAAGCAAGCCATGTCGTTGGTTCGATCACAGCACTCACCAACATCCGATCTACCTACCAGCCGCGGATATCATGCGTCAGACGCATCAGGCCTCCCGCCCTCCCCCGAACGTCTAGGTAAGGCTGGCGGGGTGCGTTAACCCTGACGGACGTGCTCCAACAGCAAGATTCATCTCCGTCAGCGCAGCTGGAACTCATGCCAAGTCGTATGCGGTACCGATAAAGACTCACCAAGCCTTCACTATAGAATGCCCACTCACAAAGTTGCAACTCCGTCGGCCATACGTCTGCGGCGAGGGCGACGGCACGGGGGCCGCATTCGAATCCAGAAAACTCAGCAGCACAGCCATCTCTAGCCATCTGACCTGACTCACTTGCCCATGAGAGTCTGCGGTCCTAATCTACCTCTCAGCTGTTTCGGACTCGGGTCCTCGCACCCACAGGCACTTTGTGATCCTGCTCATACCGCCTATGCAGGCTCGCCACATCTCTTGCGGAGCTTGCCAGCAAAGCAAACCGTCGCCCGAGCTCATCTGACAGGCGCGGGTCTTCCGTGGCCAGGCTATCATGTATCATCCTTCCTGTTCAGTACGATAGCTTCCTATGGAGACTATTTGCCCCAATGCTGTCAGCGTCTTACGAATCCTTGTGTACGCGCTGACAGTCCGCCCAGGCGCTGCACATCAGTCCGTTCATGTCCGCACTTGTGTTCTCTCATCAGTCCAAGGATCCCGTAGAGACATAGACATGTGCCTCGGGGAGCAGCGTTAGTGCGAGTCACATGCTATCACTCAGCTTCGCTCACTTCTTAAGAATCTTAACTTCTACGGGCAGGTGCACAACACAGTAGTGCCATCCCGCGCAGCCAGACTCGCTATTTCCCGCTCGCGCATCGGATCTCCGACTAGCTGCGACAACGGATCCTTCCAAGTCCACGCTATCCCTGGCTTGTGCTTCCGTTCGAGTCGTACGTTCGGCATTGAAACGCGCGCACGCCGCCATCGCGTGCCTGGGCCTTGCTTGGGCTCTTCTCGCCGACATGCGCTCGCGGCGGTGCACTCCGTGTCGTTGTTCGAGCCCAACCGCAAGCAAGTCTATCTGCAACGGGCAGACCAGGCGCGCTTCTCGCATATGCCCGCGACTGCGCTCCCAAACTTTCGCCACAAGGTTGAGCCTAGAACACGCGAACTACATGGCGATTGTCGAACCGCGTTGTCTTCCCGGAAATGACGCGTTGCCTGCGAACTGCGCTAAAACTGCGTTGCGAGGCTGTTCCAGCTTCTTGACGAGAGTTCACGGTGATCCATTGTGCTCACAATCCGTCCCTGGGCCCTCAAACCTTGTCATATTAACTGGTACAGCCACGACCGCGCGGACGCGGCGCTCCCAGTCGCTCGCTCTGATAGCTAGCCCGCTGTCCTTGGCCATGTCGCCTACAGCTTGTCTTCTCGCGCGACTTGACATCTTGGCCCGTTAACACCGGTGGCCACTCGAACACACTGAGCACGCCGTTCATGCCGGTGCCGGCGCCTTTCAGCGCGGTTCACGGAGCGCCCTCCACTGCCACGGATGCCCATGTGTCTGGTTGGCGGCTCTGGCCCGCTTTGTCCTCCGGGGCTAGCAGCAGGTTTCAAGCTTCAGGCAACCCCCGTTGCACAGTCCGATGTGTCTTTCTCGGGCGCTCATTATTGCCATTTCAGGACACCCGCCCCATCGGCCGATATTGATGGCCCGGGCGGGGAAGCATTCAACCAGCGAGCTCGGCCCAACCCTCCGCGACGGTACGAATGAAGCGGATAGCAGCAATCATGATCACACACAATCGCACAGCATGTCACGAGGGGGGCACACACTGGGCAGACCTCCCCAATCGATCCAGCGTGGGTGTCCACAGCCCAGTCCCCAGATGTTGCCACTCGGAGACGCACAATGCATGTGGTTTGTGAGCCTTCGATTCACGGATATCTGGCACTTATCTGATCCTCCTGTGTCGCGAGGCAGCAGCACCGCCGCACTAGCGACTTCCTAATTGTGACCGCATCTCAAATTCCGGCCTCGTCAGACACGGACTAACTTAGAAGGTTGTGTGGTTCGGCTCGCCGTCCGCCGCAGCACCGGTGCTCGTCCCCTCCCGCATCTGGCCCAGCGGCCATACACAACGCGACGCCACGGCGGCTACAGTCGGTGGGGCGCGCTCGGCTGACGTGGCACTTGGGCACTGTGGACCGCTAGACATACGGAGAACGCGGGTGTCGCTGACAGATGGCCGGGTTGGCGCTAGCACGGCGTTCTTTGTGCAATGAGGATGACGGGACGGCGGCCCCACAAGGGCATCGGCGCGTGGCACGACGAGCTACGTTTCAGCATGAACCCTCGGATGTGGCTCCTACAGACCGCGCATGTCGGCTTTGTCGGTCATTGCGGGTGCACTACTCGATGCAAGACGCGGGATGTACAGTAGCTACCCGGCATCCACTCAGTTATAGCGGGAGTTGCGGCGTTTCTGGTCGGTAGCGTTTAGTAGCGTCCCCCGAGACCTGGCTGTTCGTTGCGACAGCGGCTCCCGTAGTCCGCCAAATGGGGATGCGCGTCCCTGCCGTCATGGACGGCGGTATCTCCCGAGATTTGACACAGACATTTGAGGGGCCGCTCGAAGGACTTGTAGCAGCATACGACGTCCAATCGCAGCCTTCTCCTGCGATGCGTGAATCAGCGGACTGTAATATCCAAACATAGACTCGGGCGGGAAAGTCATCGTCGGCGGGCCCGCCGGATAGGGGCTCGTCGACCCGCCCTGTCTTACCTTATAAGTATGTGTTGCTAAGCCTACGCCGTGGGATCCTGCGCCCAAATCGATCGGCGGGCCTCTAGTTTCATGTTCACTGGCTAACCTGCACTGCATCCTGGCGGGTACTATCTCCGTTAACCCGGTGGGTTGCTCAACTTTCGCTCACAATTGTAAGCAATGGCCAAACGAAGCATCGCTACCGACGCAGACGGCGTACACAGGTATCAGTAGAGTCTTCAGTGGCGGCGGACTACATTTCGTCACGTCCGGCTACCGCAGCTCGATGCCGAAGCACCAGTTTCGGTAGAACTTTCGCGTTTTATTACTACCATACCGTAATCCTGGCGCGCCTGCAATAGCACTCAGTACTTACGCCCTGTCAATACCACTCATCCAAAGCTCGTTAGAACTTAATTGTTCAGCAGCGCCCTGCTGCTTTGTAATGCATTACGCGCCTTGTGGACCCATGGGGACCACAGTGTAGCATCCGGACAAGTGATGCCTGGCAGGTGCGTCTCGACGCTGGAAGACGCGGACGCTAGAAGACACTGTTGGCGATCCCCGAGGCCTTGGCCGACCACGCAGCCCCGGGCGCAGTATGTATGCCCGGCCAGTCGATTGCGCCATCATTGCCCTGCAGTTGCCTTGTGACCACCGTCGGTGCTAGCGATCGCCCGTGCGGTTGAGCATTCTACCTCGTGCATTCGTCAAATTCGCGGAGCTTCTCCCGCTGAATTTGACTGTATTTTGACTAGTAGGGCTGCCGTTATGTTCAGAATGCCGCAATGGAAGAACACTCCGTAGAGCGCGGGGAGACCACTGACGACGGGCGAGACGCAATAGAAAACCCTGTCGGAGAACATGGTGCCTTCGAAAAGGAGCACCAGCTTGTTTCCCTTCTCCCGTCTGTTGATTACGGGAGGTGCGTCAAGGGTACCGTGTGTGCTCACCGCAGGTCGCTATTGCTCCCGACCCCGCAAGATGGCGACGCCCAGCGCACTGTCGCCGTCTCATCATTGCAGTGGGATGAGAGCGCCAGATGGCAGGTTTAGGCGCGAGGCGCAATACTACTACTGCCCAGGTGCGATCGGAAGGCGCTAGCGTTTAACGTGTTGAACTCGCACCGACACGCCCCGCTGAGGCCTGAGACAGAAGCTACTTGCGCGTCGTATCGTACCGCGTCGTGCAATGTGGGGCCTGATTCGCTGCTATTCAGCATGAGAAGCACAGCATAGCCGGGTGTTCGGCCCAGCGACCGAGTACGATCTGCTAATGAATGGTAGCTGCATTTTAGCATGTTTGTTAACTTTAATCATCCACACCGCGCACCACCCTTTGAGCTTCCCGGCATTTGATGCCCCCATGAGGTAACAGACCTAGAGATCAACGAACGATAGAAAATGCTGAAGGGAGTGATCACCATTTCCCGTCACCCCTGACTTCCATGTTCCGCTTCGCGAAACTGTCATTTGGGAACCGACTCGTGGCGACTTATATGCGTCCCAGTCCTTTCGTCTAGTCACTTGGTAACGTGAGCAGAAGCACTGACCTCATGTGACACCCATAGTACCCTCTATCCCATGTGCACACTCCACAGAGAGCAGCAACCATCAGTTTGTGTTGCTTGGACTAGCTTCTAAAGCTCGAAGATGATAGATTGGCCCTCCACAGGGATAATGCAGGTGCCGTAAACGAGTCACCTGAAGCTGTCAAGGCTCTAATCAAATGTCATTGGTTACTGAAAGAACGACGGCAGGAACTCACTTGATACTATCGCGGAAATTCTAGTACGATCATAAGCAGAAGTGTTCAATGCATGTCGTCTCTGTCTTCGCGTGACAGACGCCACAGACTAATGATCCAGCCACTAGCCCAGCACTGTTTCACTTTTGCGACAGATATATGACATACACAGCAACATTACACCAGCTGAGCTCTGTACATAACGCAATACGGAGGTAAATAAACTCACAAGAAGCTCGTATCCTCGACACAAGTCAACTACAGGGAAATGTGGAACGAAAGGCGACTTCATGGCGCCCCGTCAGTCGGTCAATCTATCGGCGATATGATAGTGTATGTACGCGTGAAGGAGCATCATTTTATGAATATTCGCTTGGACCGAAGGGGACGCGCTGAGCCAACACGTCCAGTTTCCTCCTGGTATAGTCGGTATGCCTCTCGAAGGTGATCAGGTGACAAAGGGCCTGTCTCTCCTCGCCTCTGTTGCACCGCTCGAGCTAACCTGCTATGTAACCTTGCAGCAAGGACTAGAAGCATGATGTGCGTACCTTTCTCTATGATCTCACCTACGAAAACTTTCGAGAAACCGGCCACAATCTGCGCCACAGGCTGTGAGACTTGCTGGCCTAAGGTCTGCTGGATTACCTAGCGATGAAAGGAAGTGAGCAATCGCAGTAGATCCTGGTAGCTTACCGCCTACTTTTCGGACAGCTTGCTTAGGAAGCGCGTGTCTGCGATATGCCTCGAACCTGTCATATTGGGCAGGGCTGAAGTTGTCCATAAGGACTCTACGAGTACCAGTATTGAATGTAAGTCGGAGGCAACGTCAATAGTCGTAGCGTACTTTAGGTTGTCTTTGGATTGACTCTGCCACGACAGCTGAGCGGAGTAATCATCGTCGGCCATGGCAGGTAGCAGCTCATCTTCTCCGTCTCCATCTTCATCGGCACCAGGAACCCCAATCGCAGCGCCCGCTAGCTGAGCTGCAGAACTGTCTCCTGTAGCAGGCGGGTTGACAATTACTCCAGGAAGGCTTATGACGCCTCCTGTCTCTGAGCTGAGCTGAGCATTCTGCTCTTGATTGGCATTCGAAGGACCTGCGGAGCCGCCATCAGAGTACGCAACGGTGCTCGGTCCGGGGGTATTGGACTGAATGGTAGTCCACTGTAGGGGCGTGGGTAGACTCGTGGTCGGCGAGGTCTGGGGCGATGTGCGGGCGGACTCTGTGGTCAGATTTGCATTCTTTGGCTTTCGACCACGCTTGGCTCCAGTGCCTCTGGCAGGCGTGGCTGTCGATGTCGCTCGAGCACCAGGATTTGCTGGCAAGAATGTGCGCTCGGGGGTAGGATATGTCGCAAATGGTGAACTCATCGTTGAAGAGATTACGACCAGAGTTGCAACGTTGACAAGTGACGCGAGCAATGACACGTAAGTATAATTTTCCCACACTTATAAATCTTGTTACCAGCTAACAGACGCGTTTCGCGCACAGTAGTACGCGACGCGCGTCTGTTGCAGCTCATCGACCATCCCCCACCAAGCTGCTCGGCCTTTGTTTGTAACCCCAATCCCTCTCACGGACCCTCCTTACATACAAGGCCTATTGCTTCGGTAACCCGGCGGATTTTGACGCTAAAGCGACCAAATGGCTCAGAGCTCATACTATTCTCTTTCGCCTTCTCCGGGTGTCGAGTCTTCTCATTCTTCCGACTCTTCCTCTGGCGACGAGTTCCAATCTACTGGATATGAGGGTATTGAAGTCTCGCGACCTGCCTCGCCACTACCAGCCGAAGGGCAGTTTCCTGTCACAGAAGGAGATGATACCATGACTTGTCAGTGGGAGGACTGTGGCAAGGTGTTCGACCATCTGCCCTCCCTGATTGATCACATACATAATGGTGAGAAGTCACGTATTAGCGGAAGGATATACCGCAACTTCTATTCCAGATCATATTGGTGTGCACAAGTCCAATTACACATGCGAATGGAAGACCTGTGCCCGCAGAGGGATAGCGCAGACATCTCGCTTCGCCCTGATTTCTCACATACGCTCGCATACTGGCGAGAAACCATTCATCTGTACTCGCCCAGGTCTGTAAGATATTCTCTTGATTGGAATCCACCCATAGACATGCTTCTGTAGAGTGTGACAAGTCATTCACCCGCTCCGATGCTCTCGCAAAGCATATGCGCATGCAACACAACATGGTACCTCCTGCTCCCGGGCGCGGTGGAAACAGAAAGCGAAAGCGCGACGAAGCGGAGCCGACTGTTCAACCTACCACCGACGGCTACAGCACTTTCAAAATCGATCCCCCAGACAACGGAGATTTCGACGACCGGATGTCGCCCATGGATGCGAATGGAGACCATACCAATGTCAACAGCAATGGCCGTTCACTCAGCCCTGACTTTGACGACGAGTCCGACCCCGAAGATGAAATACCGCCACATCTTCTCGCTATGCAAGATCCCGGCACGGGACTAATTTTCGGGCGAACCCCAACGATGGTGAAGTACATCTTGATGAAAGCGAAGCACAAGCATCTTCTCGACGAACACGCGCATCTTATTGAAGAGCTACGAATGGTGCGCCACGAGGAGCAGTTATGGAGGGAGCGCAAGGATGCCTTACTGGACGAGGTCCTACGCGCGAACTTCGGGTGAGTGCTCGTCCCATTCTTGCGGAAACTTCTCTAACGAAGTATGTAAAGCCCACAAGCCGAAGAGTTAGTGCTACCCCCTGTTTCCGCTACATTCCTCGCGTCCTCCCGCGATGATCTCCGCCGCGTACCGTCACCAGACGTAGATAATTAGTTGCATATTTGGTATCATGTAGGATTTTGTAGCACTTGTGAGTATCGAATATCGATCACTTGTCAGATTGATGCGACAGGCAGTATCGGTCCTTTGTTCGATCATTGCCTTTTATGGTCGCGATCGTTGTAAAGCCCATGAGGGTGGCCCAAGCTACTCATTCACCTTGTCCTCTTCGACTGACACGACTTGCCGCAGATCCCTTTCCCCGCAAACTGCGCTATCTCATTCACCTAATCAACTATGCCTTGCGCAAGACGTAAAGACGGCAAGCAGAACGATTCCTCTGAACGAGTAAGCCGTACGTATTTGCGCCACACGACGCAGCTGAAGCCTCCATTTAGTCCTCATCGCCCGACATACCTACTCCAAAGATAGAAAAACGGCGCCGGAGGTGTGGCCAGCAAGTACATACTGGGCAGGAACAGGACGGCATCTTCAATTCTTGGTTCCCCAAGTCCAACATTCGCGCCGCAGCCGGCAGCGACACGCACCCCGATAAGAAACACCTCTCATTCTCCTTCCCGGGCCTCGAACCCGAAGATCCTTCCTGGCTGGACTCCATGGTAGACCATCTTCGACAGATTAGAGGGGACACGCTTCGGTATATCGAAGACGTTCGTGCGCAAGCAGACAGGCTAATGTCCGAGGTTACCCTGGCCGATCTGAACACGGACGTCGAATTAATGGAGGTCATGAGCCTCATTCACAACATAGGTCGCCTAGCAGGGCCAGATTTTCTCCATTATCTGCTGGGCAAAGTATTAGGCAAATCCGATCTGCTCTGCGACGATGGTTACGAAGATGACAATTCAGGCCATGACGATCATGAGGAAGGCGACGCGGACAGTGATGGCGATTGCGTCGATGAAGAATTTTTTAACGACGAACGGGCAGATACCTCGTAAGCAAGCGTTAGGTTGCGGTGTGTCTGCGCTCACCCGTCTCATAGGATGCCGTCCGAGAGTCTACCTATTCCTCCTAGCGAGCAGACAGCGCACGGGGCTATGGAAATGCCTGGTTCTGTTGATCAGCGACTCACCAGATTGCATCTGCAGAATGTCGCTACTGCCCCGCGCACACCTCCCGCACAAATTAGTAAGCGCCTCAAGAGGAAGCGTTCTTGCGAAGAGAGTTTGGACAGCGGCGATCATGCAGTCCACGAGCCCGATCACAAACGCCAGCGCAACTCTGATATCTCTGACCACTCCACCGACAGCCCGTCTCCCACGACTAGCCGTGTCGAACGTGTTCAAAAGAAGTCGTTTGGCGACAGGCGGTCAATTTTGGAGCACAAGGGCAAACAGCCCGTCTATCCTCCGGGTTCGACGCTCTTTTGGGCTCAGCAGCATGCGGCTCTCGCAGCTCAGTCTCAAGAAGGGACAGTCAGCACTGCGTCATCAGCATCCCGAGGTTCCCCAATGCATCCCCTTGTCTTACCACTGCGGACTGCTCAATTATCCCCTGGTTCATGCCACAGCGTGCAGCCTCAGTCTGTCCAAGCTCGCCAAGTTCCAGTTCAGCCTGCTGTCATCAGCATCGCCTTCAGCGCTGTAGCCCAACCATCATCACAGCTTCAGGTCAACAGTCTTCCGGTACCACCAGCTACAATCTGCGATCCTTCGAGAGATCCCCGTCGCAGGCCTCCCCGGGGACCACCTAAGCCTGTTCTAGACTCGCACAGCAACGCGCGCCGCGCGGAAGACGCTCGCGAAGATAATCTTAGATTCAGAGAGGATAGCGATGTGAACGCTTCCCCACCGTAGAGCCCTGTCGATCCAGCAGCGTACTTCATGCTCTTGCAATAGCTTGGATGCCATCCGGGGGCCAGCTGTGCGTTAAGCACGTTATCGACTCCTTTAGACTATCACACCAATAAACATCACGTTCTGATCACCCGTACACACAACCGGACTACCAGATTTCGAAGACGAGAGACCCGCTCGGCGCCGTGCAAACGCGAACGCGAACCCTAAGAAGGACAGGTGTGATTTTTGCTACACCACTGCAGCCTAACTGCCGTAGTCTTGCGGGCATCTGCTGTGCCTGGATTGTGCGGATAGCCTCCCTGAAAATCGTTGTCTGAAGCACTACCGAATTGTCGCTGGAAGATCATGGCGGAAGCCTCGCAGAGAGCGAGGTGGGTTGAGACTGTTTCACTGCTAACATGGCCGACGAGTGCGTGGTTGTGCTATCGAGCCGTGCATAGGAGGTCTGTTGGAACATTTATGCGCACTGCAGATAACGTTTTGAGATTGTCTTCCGATGCTACGAAGAAGCAATAACGTACAATGCCCTTTTGACGCCCTTCATCTCTCTATCCGCCTCTATCCGCGCCTTCTCAGCTTACTGATCCGCTGGCTTCCGTTGATCGGATCAACATTGTACATTGTGCTATATAATTAATACGCCCTCGAACTTGATTATGCGTTCAGCGTTCATCTAAGCTGGGCACAACCTCTAAAGCACTCCGGCAGCAGATACAGCACATGGAGGTGAGAATGATGCACCGCATCTGAGCTTGGTGCATGGAAGCTGATTTCTCCGTGTCTTACGACACAAGCCTTCCATACCCGTCTGTCGCCGAGTTATCAACGCTATATACCCAGTTTTTCACGATGTGCGAATACGGCTGCTCTTACCTTCCACCTGTACTACTACATCGAGGTTCAGACATGGGTAGCTTTCGGCCTGCATCGACATCGCCTTCACGAGTATGGCCTCGAAGATCCCCCAGGCAACTAGCGCGGCGAGTCCCGGCGTAGAAAGTCGAACTATCGACGTCGTCGTCGACACCTCCGCTTTAGAGGGGGAGACCAGACAGCTCATTCTGAAGAGCGTACCGACTCCGATATCTTTCGAGTACCTCGCCAAGCGTTTGGAAGCTAATGGTGAGATATTCCAGGTCTTGGTCGGCAGCACCATGTAGACGTCGAAGACGCAGGCTGTCCCGCACCCAAAAACTTTATTACTCGCTCGCAAATAGTCTCAGCAGATGTCACAGAGGAGAAATCCAGTCTCGATCTCGGCTTGATGGCCGGGTCTGTCAATGCGTACGTTATGAATCTTCGTATTCTCTGACGGCGCCTAATTTCGTGGCAACATTCCCGTAGCGATGAGCCACTGTGTCGCTACTATTATCGATATTTCCTACAATCCACCGCAGCAACAGAGGCTAGAAATCCGAACATCAGAAACCAGCCGTTTGGGGACGTCAACACCGCCAGATTCGGCTGGCGTGACGACTTGATTCATGTCGGTGGCGTAAATATCAGCTTCATGAGGTAAGTCTCATTGGAGGTGCTGATAGTCCGCTGGGGCTAACATAGCTGTACAACAGAACGGTCAGGGTACCTGGTTAGTGTATCGCGGTGATGAAGTTCTGCGCAAGAACTCTGAGTACCCCCACGCTCCTAGATGACCGCAGGACCTACTCGATACCCACTAGCCTCGGCAAATTTCCACTATTGTGCGTAGCTCTTCATTGCAAGTTACCGGTTGACGTATTAATGAAGTCATTAGCAACGCCGCGACCCTAGCTAACCGACTTCCACAGTCGATTGTTTCGAAGGGGGGAGTTCTCATGGCAGGTGTACCGCAGCGTAAATCCCGCCAACCTGACTCACGAAACGAGTCTATAGGGGATGCACCAGTGCGAAGCCATGTGGATGGACTTCAAAGCTCTAGGAAATTCCCCTGCATACGCTGTCAAGGTCTCCGCGAGTGGTCTGAATGCTCTGACTGGATTGCCCCGCAACGCTACAGCCGTCGGCCGACAGGACTACCTGGCGGTAAGGCAGGATAGCTGTGGCCAGCAGTAAGTCGAGTAACCATCGTGCGTGTTTGTCTGCTCATGACTTTGACCAAATTTTAGGTGGCTGGTACGTCATTTTGCATGTTGGACAACATCCTGGGAATAACACCCCCTTTCCCCCGAAGGATGGCTTTAGTACCGAAGAGGGACTCGTGCGACGTAAACTTATACAATCATCTGTTCCGACTATTTGATCATTCTCCTAAGAGTTCGTGGCTGAGCCACTGGAAGAACAGTTCGGGGTCGATTCGCAGCCAACCAGACAAGAGGTTAGTGCGCTGACAGCATGTGATGACAATGATCTCACATGCCATTTCTAGGACATTGGAAGCATCCAAATCGACGTGTTCCCGCTATATGAAAAGCCTTCCAGGTTCTATACCGACGATGGCAGGGTGCTCGATCCATATAAGTCTGCTCGCCAGCAGGGCGTACAATTGGGCCAGCAAGTCAAATTCGTAGATCCGCAAAGGTGCGCTGGCATGCCATTAAGAGGATGGCCTAGTATTGACAACTGCTGAGTAGCGTCAACAACTTCTTGGCCGAGGATGCCAGCAACAGCACTTACATCCAGAGTCCTGTGTGGTATCTGCAATCATTGCACTTATGCGCGCGGCCTGATACATTCGGTATGTTGGTGGGGTCCAACGTTTACCGTCTTAATTGACCATGATCTCTGCGCACCCCGTAGTCTACGTTAAGATGCTCACCGGCAGGACCATCACACTTTTTAGCAAGCTTTCAAGCGCCGTGGACGAGCTTAAGCGTGCAATCCGAGTCGAGGAAAATTTTACGCCGGACGAACAGCGCCTCGTCTTCGCTGGGAAACAGCTGAACGACAGCGGGCGTCTTGTGGGTGCGTATGGTACATTTAGGCTCGCCAGGCTACGATATTGACCTGTACGTCTTCAGACCATGATGTCAGGAACGGATCAACGCTTTATCTAATCCTACGGCTGAATGGCGGAGAGCGCGCTGAGCCCCCTGGGGCACGCTCGCAAAGCTTTGTTGCCGGGGGTCAAATCACGCAGCAGATCATCCTCGACCCTTTGCCCTCGACAGCATACAACTTTGACAAAGGAACCCGGCTGCACATCACCATCCTCGACCCCATAAGTCTCGCCCAGCTCACCGGTAAACCGCCTATATCGACACCCATCAACATCCTCACGTACATTAGCGCCAAACTCTCGTGGTTTGAGTTTTATGACGAGGGGATCCCGATGGCCAACGACTTCTCCGGAGGTCGTGGTCTTGCAGACGAGAAGTCTCTGCAGATGCTCCTTAGTGAGCGGCGAGACAAGGGTCCTTCCCGCTGCAGCTATTGCAGCAACACAGCGAGCTACGTGACGCAGCCTTGTGGGGTCCGACTTTGTGAGGGCTGCGCTCATGGTCTGCCTGCCGACGAGTGTCTGAAGAGGTTTCCGGTTTCCAGTCAGAGGGAGAGAATGTTCGGCTCGAACATCCTCGAGGGAAATAGGGCTAATGTGGACTGTCCTACTTTTGGGATCAAGGGCGATCCCGTCGTAGACTTGACGAGGTGCGTAGAGAGGGGGTTAGTAGGCACCTTCAGGCGTGCTTCAGATGACGTCTCGGAGTTGTCTTCCGCGGCTCCGCAAGTCAAAGATGGGTCAAAATGATAAACGGAAATCAAAAGAACGTGAACGATGTTGTATACTGCTGTATTATCTTGGAATGATACCAACAAATCGGAAGGTCATGAGTTTGCTGAGACCGCACGCGGAATCCATCCATCACACAATCACAATACTGTTGATCATGATTTACAAACAGGATACGTTTATGGACCGACCTATCTAGCCTCCGGGCATGTACGTCAGGTCGTTGTCCAAGTACTGACTCGTGGGCCTACTACTACCATCGACCAGACAGCATGCAGCGGCGAACTCATGTGCTGACTTCTGGATGCTGAGCTCAACACTATAACTCAGTGGGACAATACTTACCGTACGATGGAAAGGCTCGCGGTCCATCACTAATGCCTCAAAGCTATCCAGAACTGGCTCTGATCACAGGGTCTGTCATTATTTTCCGCAAAAATTGTAGCAGCGACGCCACCGCAACACATAGTTCTGACATGGGGGTTGGAACTGAGCTCGGATTGAACGATATATCGCGAAGGAACGAAAGCTGGAGGATGAACGTTCCCGCGTTGCCTGATCGGAGAAGGGAAAAAGTGATTGGCGCGTATATTACTTACCACGTTATTTGGGGCGGAGTTATAATGAAAGCGTGGGAAGAAATAGGCGTGGTCTAAGGGCTTAAGATTGTGAAAGTCGTTTTCGACCTCGTCTCACATCGCCATCCCGACCAGTACCCTCACCGCTCCTTCAACAAGCCTATCATGTATGTCATCTTACACTCTTGGCTGCTATGGCCGCGTTTCCAGGGTCGGAATACCCGAACAACGCGGTCAAAACGCGACCTTTCTTTTAGTTCGAATCGACGTGCTGACGTTGCACTCGCAGAATGCGCGAAATCGTCCACCTCCAGACTGGCCAGGTGCGTTTCATGCTTGTTGCGTACATACTCATGCTCATGCACATCCATTGCGCAGTGCGGTAACCAAATCGGTGCCAAGTTCTGGGAGGTCGTCTCAGACGAACACGGTATTGACCGCGATGGCTTGTACAAGGGCAACAACGACCTCCAACTCGAGCGCATCAACGTCTACTACAATGAAGTTGGCGCGAACAAGTATGTTCCTCGCGCTGTTCTGGTCGACCTCGAGCCTGGAACCATGGACTCCGTTCGATCTGGTCCTCTCGGCAACTTGTTCCGACCAGACAACTTTGTCTTCGGCCAGAGTGGCGCGGGCAACAACTGGGCGAAAGGACGTGAGTTGTACATTCTATTCAACTTCTGTCCCTAGCCGCAGCGGTTGCTGGCTTTGACGGTGCGAACGCGTTGCGCTGCCACGCGTCGTCCCCTCCCACGTGCTATGTACGTGATTTGACTGCTGCTAACTATCTTCATTATAGACTACACGGAGGGCGCTGAGCTTGTTGACTCCGTTCTTGACGTTGTTCGCAAGGAGGCTGAGGGCACTGATTGCCTCCAAGGTGTGTTCAAGTTTCTGCTTGTGACCGTGACGTGATGTCACGCGCCATGCGCTTTACATGTGCTGGTGCAAGCGGTCCTGTCCGACCACATACTGAACCGTGTATGCAGGCTTCCAGATCACTCATTCGCTTGGTGGTGGTACCGGCGCGGGTATGGGTACCCTCCTGATCTCCAAGATCCGTGAGGAGTACCCAGACCGTATGATGGCCACCTACTCCGTCGTGCCATCTCCCAAAGTCTCCGACACCGTCGTTGAGGTATGTTACGAGAAAAGTCGAAACATATTGCCAATTGACGCCATCTGAAAGCCCTACAATGCTACTCTCTCCGTTCATCAACTGGTAGAAAACTCCGATGAGACCTTCTGCATTGACAATGAGGCGCTCTATGATATTTGCTTCAGGACATTGAAGCTGACGACACCAACATATGGTGACCTCAACCACCTCGTCTCCGTTGTCATGTCCGGCATCACAACTTGCCTGCGTTTCCCTGGCCAGCTCAATTCGGATCTTCGCAAGCTTGCCGTCAATATGGGTACGTTCTTTATGCATTCTGTTGATAATATTATTAATCAGATGTATAGTACCTTTCCCTCGTCTTCACTTCTTCATGACTGGCTTCGCTCCATTGACTGCCCGTGGCAGCCAGCAATATCGCGCCGTTACTGTTCCTGAGCTTACGCAGCAGATGTTCGACGCCAAGAACATGATGGCTGCCTCCGATCCCAGGCATGGTCGCTACCTCACCGTTGCTGCTGTCTTCCGTGGCCGTGTCTCGATGAAGGAGGTTGAAGAGCAGATGCAGAACGTTCAGAACAAGAACTCAGCCTATTTTGTCGAGTGGATCCCGAACAACGTCCTTACCGCTCAGTGTGATATCCCACCCCGTGGCCAGAAGATGGCTGTCACCTTCCTCGGCAACTCGACTGCCATCCAGGAGCTCTTCAAGCGTGTCTCCGACCAGTTCACTGCCATGTTCAGGAGGAAGGCCTTCTTGCACTGGTACACCCAGGAGGGTATGGACGAGATGGAGTTCACCGAGGCCGAGTCCAACATGCAGGACCTCGTCGCCGAGTACCAACAGTACCAAGATGCCACGTAAGTTATCATCCCTCTGTTTGTGCGCGACCCTTACTAACTGAGTTTTGTAGCGTTGAGGAGGAGGGCGAGTACGAGGAGGAAGTCCCTGCCGAGGAAGAGCAGTAGACAGCTCGCTTTTACGTCCGGAGTTCATTTTGTCCCCTTATGACATCGCTGCACGAAAAGCTGTTACTACATAATCTCCTTATATTGGTCGCTTCTGTCTCTCATTACGTTTCTTTCTCTGGCACCTATCCCGACGACTACGCTACCCTACTGCATATCATCTTCATTCACTCGTAACGATTCTCTCTTCTACTTAGGATAATGTAAAAGCTTGAGGCTACAAGGCAATGTGTGACTGATCGGGACGATCACCCTATTGGCAACGTTGCATTCACGACTTCGCCTGTTGACTTTCCCAACACTGAGAAGTGTTCTAAGTGGTAGATTGATTCCCTCTTGAAGAAATATTGTTCAGCTCGCTCTGTTCAGTAGTGTCATGCGCGCGAGAATCTATTACGCAGACTAGCTCCTTATTATCATAGAAATGTCTGTGTAGTAAGATAGTGGGATTATCGCGGATTTCTTCCCCTGTCTGTTGACCGCCTCAGTGGGGCGGTTCAGCCTACCAAGGCAATTCCGGTGGCGCTTCCCGAGCGTCGTCAACTTTGGCGTTGCGCGCATGCCTGCGGGCAGTGGCATCAACGTCTGTACCTGTCTCAGGGTTGGGAGTGACTTACTTTGTCTTCACATGCCTCACCAGCTCGTCAGGTTCCATGCATGGCGCTTGTGGTACGTATGGGAAATCATCCATGTCCGCGTGCTGCCGCCAGAAGTCGGAGCTCTCTGGGATAGTCGTGCACATGCCGCAGACATTACAGATGATGTTCCTGCCGTTGAAGGTGTCAGACCAAGTCTCGACGAGCTCCTGTTCGTCAGGAGACAGCGGCGGCTGTTCGAAGCTCTCACCGTCCCCTAGCAGACGAATGAAGGACGGGCCTTTGTCGAGGTCGTGATCGTGGACGAGAACCTCGTTCTTAGGGCACTCTGAAGCACTGTAAATAATGTCTATATCAACACTCGTTCCCATACAACCATACGCGCACCTCACCTGCGGCAATCACTGGCAGCGTGGTAGAATGAGGTTTCCCACATGATGTGCGAGACCTGAGCATCGCGGATTGGGCAATCGTCACCGTACTACGAGAGCACACACGCACCATCTGCGCGAATGTAGCCGGATGAGATAACGTTGCACACTCGCACACGATTTTCCCAGATATCTCTGAGTAGCGAATGTCTTCCGGCAGCCCGAGTTTGCTCAGAACCTTCCGCGCCACCCGGCTATCGACCGGTAGCTTGATGGGACGTCGGTTCTCCCTGTTATGCTTGGTGTGCACATGCTTCGCAAGTTCAGTGATGCTGTACACGGCAGTATCCGGGAGAGGCTCGTCGCCGATGTCGACGCAGAAGTAGCACCGGAAAAGGGCCGTTGCGAGGTCGAGGACGTCTTCGGATCTATACTCCATGTCCTTTGGTATACATTTCAGCTTCTTCACGTCCAACGCGGGATCGTGCCGCGGTGGCGTGAGGTCGAAGTCGAAGACGTCGAGGGGCTCACAATAGCACGTTACCCCACGCTCAGGTTCGGAGAGCCTGGCATAGTGTGTCCACGCAGCCTCGACAAGTTCTACCTTGAACTTACGCGCCTGTTCCTGAAGCGCAGGAAGAACTGTGAGGAGACGTTCTTCTGTCATCTCGATACGCGCCTCATCTTCCTCCAGCAGGGAGCATATCTCTGGGATGAGTATGGCGTCTGAAGCAGTAGGGAACGGCCCATCGTCTACAGGGGCCTCGGGCAGGAACATCTCATACACGTCGCGCAGCTCTAGTTTTCGTAGTACTCGGCGATTTCTACGTGCTTGCTCTTCTCGCAGCAACTTCTGGTCGGCTAAAATTTTCTCGAGTCGGGGACGAATATTATTCCAAACTACACCGTTACATGGTGTGAGACATGATCGCAACAGAAATGCGGATATACGCACTGCGTGGTGTCAATTCGCGAGGCTGCCTCAAGATGTGCAGCCATTGGGAATAGGTATAATTTTCGATGCCCCATCCTCCCTCAGGAAAGTCTGACGCCGTGTAGCCAAGCTCTAAGAGTTTCTGCTTAATACTGCACCAAAGAGCTATTAGCAAATGCTAAGCGAGTCGTGATATGCGTTGTACCTTTCCGCTCTGGAGTCCTCCACGCTACGCATGGCAGCCTTCTGATTGATTTGCCATTCCTGGAGCGATTTAGCAAACTGACGAGCAGATAAGCCCAGAATCTGACTAAAAAGAAGCCGTATTCACCTCATGCATGACTCGAACATACTGCTTGCGTTCATCAACAAATTTCTGCAGCGCCTTTTCGTCTCCGAAGTCTCGAAGCGAGTTATACTGGCCAAGAACACTCTGAAATTCCGCAACATCGTAGGAATCAAGGTCTTTGTTGGACATCTGCGCGTTGATGTAATCTAAAGCTGGTCAGACCGTGAGATAGGAAGGCTTGCGAAGACAGATATAATGCCACACTTACAATTTCGCGAGCATGGCAGAAGCTGGAAGACAGGGTCATCCCAAGCCAAACGGTACTGCCTCTCGATGGTGAAACCTCGTTTCAAGCTTGAGAAAGTCAGTGTCTAAATCGAAGCGATGTCTTAGACAGCTTGGCCTACTTGAATTTCCAGCACGAGCCACAGTAGCGAACAACCAATCCGTAGTCGTATTTCTGGCCGCGATTTCCGCATCCCTGAAAGATATTCGCATGCCTATCAGCATTCCTTTCCGACGACATCGAACTAGACACTCACGAAACAGTAAGAAGAAAAGAGGACAGCTGCTAAACGAGGTTCACTGATACTCGGAGGCGGGTCAGGCAGCTCGGGGTCATTGCGCCTGGCGGCCGCCCAGAGGTGCTTCCGCGACTTGCTCATGAGCATCTCACGGAAGTGTCTGGACGCCCAAGTCAGGTGTAGGAGATCTCGTAGCGTCAGATGCGACACGATCTACGGCACCCGTAAGCAGCACAGTTGAAATAGGAATGCAGGCAGGCTTGCCTCAAACCAGATGTCCATGGGCATTTGGAAGAGACGAGCGAGCTTGCCAGCAGTCCTGTTGCCTCGAGTCGTCTGTTTTGAGAGGCCCGTTGCCGGTCCATTGCGGCCGGATCTGTCTAATGTGGCAGCCTTCCTAAGATGTTCGGTAAGCCATACCGTCTGCAAACGAAGCTTGGACCTTACTTTCTAGGGGCCATTCTTCAAGATAGCGGCAAGAAGGAGCGCTAAATAGGCAGTATGGCCTTGAACACGCTTTGAGATTGTCCGAGCTTATTTAGCCGTGCTGCTGCAAAGCAGTGTACAATCGAGGAGCCCCGAAGTTGCGCTAGAAGTCGTGCTCGAGAGAGCGGCTTCGACTCGGACAATGTTGAAAGCGCCGGCGCTTTGCAGCTGGCTTTCTGACGCGCAGCGTCCGCCTCGGATCCAGCCGCCCCTGTTGCCAGGACCCGCTCTCGATTGCGAAAACATAACAATCCAAGCCCCATTTGTACAACGTATCAAAGCACGTAAGAACACCCGATAATACAGATAGCTGAGATTATGGAATGTTACTGGTGTACATTAATGCTAGTGTTCTATAGGTATCAGTGTTCATGTGTACTAGTGTTCGTCGCGTAACAGCTCCGTACCTCATACGACTACATCTCCGACGATCTGCACCGAGTTCATTGTCGCTATGCGAGCCATAGCAGGCATCGCGTTCTCCTCATACTCGAGCTCGCCGGGTGCACCCTCGAGCTCGCGCCGCGACCGTGTCGCGGTAGTAGGCGACCTCATATGCATGCTTCGCACCGCGGTCCACATTCTGCTGTGCAGGAGCAGGAAGATTGGTCGCCTCGCCCTTGCGCCCTTCTGCGGGGATGTCCCTGATGTCGACGTGTGGGGATGAAGACGCAAGTACGAACACAGGGGCTGAGATCTTGTTCGTAGGGAGCCCCAGAATGTGCGGTGCTAACAAGATTGTATCATGCAGGGCAGCTACTTATTACCAAGAAAAATGTTCATATAGTAAGGCGGTGGAACCACCGCATAATTCTTGCCTTGTGCCACTACTGTTCATTAACCGCCTCAATTGGGTGGTTTAGCCTATTCAAGGCTTCGGTAGTGCTTCCTGAGCATCGTCAACTTTAGCGCTGCGCGCATGCCTGCAGGTAGTCACATCAACCTCCGTACCTCCTACAGAATTGGGGCGTGACTTACCTCCTCTTCACATGTCTTACCAGCTCGTCAGGTTCCATCTTCGCGCGCTGCCGTCGCAAGCTGAGGCTCTTTGGGGTAATCGTGTACATGTCACAGACATTGCAGGCAATGTTCCTGCCGTTGAAGGTGTCAGACCAGATCTCAACAAGTCCCTGTTCGTCAGGAGACAGCGGCGGCTTTTCGAAGCTCTCAACGTCCCCTAGCAGACGGATGAACGACGGATCTTTGTCGAGGTCGTGATCGTGATCGAGGACTTCGCTCTCAGGGCAGCTGAAGCACTGTAAATAATGTCTATATCAATACTCGTTCTCATACAACCATACGCGCACCTCACCTGCGGCAACCACTGGCAGCGTGGTAGAATGAGGTTTCCCACATGATATGCGAGACCTGAGCATCGCGGATTGAACAGCCATCACCATACTACGAGAGCACACACGCACCATCTGCGCGAACGTAGCCAGATGAGATAACGTTGAACACTCGCACACGATTTTCCCAGATATCTCTGAGTAGCGAATGTCTTCTGGCAGCCCGAGCTTGTTTAGGACCTTCCGCGCCACCCGGTTTTCGACCGGCGGCTTGAAGTCGGCTCTCCCTGTTATGCTCGGTGTGCACATGCTTCGCAAGTTCAGTGATGCTGTACACGGCAGTATCCGGGAGAGGCTCGCGGTTGAAGCCGACGCAGAAGTAGCACTGGAAAAGGGCCGTTGCGAGGTCGAGGACGTCTTTGGATCCATACTCCATGTTGTTGGGTATGCACTCCAGCTTCTTCACGTCCACTTCAGGATCGCGCCGCGGTGGCTCAATTTTGGACTGCTCAGCGTAATGTGCCCACATGGCCTTGGCGAGTTCCGCCTTGAACTTACGCGCCTGTTCCTGAAGCGCAGGAAGAACTGTGAGGAGACCTTCTTCTGTCATCCCGATACGCGCCTCATCTTCCCCCAGCAGGGAGCATATCTCTGGGATGAGTATGGCGTCTGAAGCAGTGGGGAACGGCCCGTCGTCTATAGGGGCCTTGGGCAGGAATATCTCATACACGTCGCGCAGCTCTAGTTCTCGCTGTCCTCGGCGACTTCTACGTGCGATCTCTTCTCGCCACAGCTTCTCGTTGGCTAAAATCTTCTCGAGTCAGGGAAGAATATCATTCCAAACTACATTTTCGCATGGCGTGAGGCACAATTGCAACAGAAATGCTGATATACGCACTGCGTGGTGTCAATTCGCGAGGCTGCGTCAGGATGGACAGCCATGAGATCCACCTAGGTTTATCCGCGCATTCAAACACAGGGAAGTCTGACTCTGTGTAACCAAGCTCTAGGAGTTTTTGCTTGATGCTGTGCCAAAGAGCTATTAGCACCTATAATGCGAGCTTTAATGTGCGTTGTACCTTTCTTCGTTGAAAAGCCGCATACTCCGCTTGGCGGTCTTCTGGTTGAGTTGCCATTGATTTAGCGACTCGGAAAACTAACGAGTAATAAGCCCAGTACTCGACTCTCGAAGAAAGAAGCCATACTCACCTCACACATGTCCTCAACATACTGTTTGCGCTCGTCAATGAACACCCGCAATGCCTTTTCATCCCCGGAGTCTCGGAGAGAAGCATACTGATCATGGACACTCTTGAATTCCGTAACATCGTACGAACCAACATCTCTCTTGGACGGCCGTGCATCGATGTAATCCAGAAAGCTGGTTGAGCTGTGATATAGGGAGGCAAGCAGAGAAAGGGGTGATGTCACACTTACGATATTGCGAATGCGGAAGAAGCTGGAAGGAAGGGTCATCCCGAGCCAAGCGGTACTGCTTCCCGAGGAAGGAGCCTTGTTTCGAGCTTGAGATGATTGGTATCTATATCGAAGCGATAGTTTAAACGGCTGAGCCTACTTGGATTTCCAACACGAGATACAGTAGCGAACAACCAAGCCGTAGTCGCGTGTTTTGCTGCGATTTCCACATCCCTGAAAGATATTCGCATGCCTATCAGCATTCCTTTCCGACGACATCGAGCCAAACACTCACGAAACAGAAAGAAGAAAGGAGAACAGCTGCTAAACGAGGTTCACTGATACTCGGAGGCGGGTCGGGCAGCTCGGAGTCATTGCGTCTGGCAGCTGCCCAGAGGTGCTTCCGCGACTTGCTCATGAGCATCTCACGGAAGTGTCTGGACGTCCAGGTCAGGTGTAGGAGATCTCGTAGCGTCAGATGCGACACAATCTACAACACTCGTAAGCAGCACAGTTGAAATATGAATGCAGGCGTTCTTGCCTCAAACCAGATGTCCATGGGCATTTGGAAGAGACGGGCGAGCTTGCCGGCGGTCCTGTTGCCTCGAGTTGCCTGTTTTGAGAGGCCCATTGTCGACCCATCGCGACCGGGTACCGGTCTGTCTGATGTGGCGGCCTTTCTGAGATGTCTGCTGAGCTCTATCGTTTACAAGCAATGCTCGATGCATTTCTGTACTTTCCAGGGGGCATTCTTCAGGATAACGACAAAGAGTTGCGCTGGAAGCTGAGGACGCCGCTTCAGAAGCGCTTCGGCGACGCGCTTTTTGATACGCGGCGTCCGACGCTCCCGTCGGTGACTGCAATTGCTGGCGTGGACGAGACCCGTTCTTCAGGTATTGCGAAAATATTGCGACCTTTCCATTTGAGCCCTATTTGTACAACATATCAAATCACGTAAGAATACCCGATAATGCAGATGGCTAAGTTTATGGAACGTTGTGTCCTGCATGCATCAATGTTCATGCACATGTACTGCTCATTGCTGCATAACAGCCCTGTACCTCACGGGAGTACATCTCCGATGATCTGCACCGAGTCTGTAGTTTCCGTGCGAACCATAGAAGGCGTCATGTTCTCCTCATGCTCGAGCTCGCCGGGCGCAACCTCGGTCTCCATGATGATGTCATCGTCGTCCGCATCCTGGCCCTCGTTGCCCATCACGGGAGCTCGCGCCGCGACCGCATCGCGGTAGGCAACATCATGCTTCGCGCCGCGGTCCACATTTTGCTGTGCAGGAGCGGGAAGGTTGATCGTCTCACGTTTGCGCTCCTCTGCGGCGATGTTCCTGACGTCGGCGTGGGCGTGCTCTGACGCCTGGGCGCCGTTCACGCCGCGCACAGCCCTACGTCTCCCGTGTCAGATCACAAACTTAGCGCATATAAGCGGGAGAACACCCACTTGATGCGCTCAGCATCTAGGCGTGCAGCCTCGCGGAGCAGGTCTTCATTGTTCGTCGGGGCAGCCGCCGAGCTTCTGCGCCTGGCAGCTCCGACGCCGTTCGTGTTCTCGCTGCTCTGGTCGTTCGTTTGCTCACCGGAGCCTCGCCTAGGCTTACCGTTCTCGTTCGAACCTCTTCGCGCAGATCGCGCCCGAGCGTTGCCGTTGCCGCTGCCATTCGTGCTCACAGAATTCTGCCGCGGCTTCCCCCGGCTTTCGCCGGAGCCCCTGCGTGGCTTGACATTTGCGTCCGTCGAGTTCTGTTGCGACTTGCGACCGGTGTCGTTTGAATTACGCCGCGGTTTGCCGTTGGATTCTGCAAACTTCGCCGCCGCGGCCTGCGCCTCTGCCGCAAGCGAACCAGGGGGCGGACGGAAGCCCAGTGCACGGTGTTCGTGAGACATCAATCTCCGCGCTTCCTCTGGAAGTGGAGTGGTTAGTAAGTAGTTTCACAATAATGCTTCCATAGGCATGCCCGTGCGGCACTACTAGATGATGCTGCTCCAGTTTGATATTCCCGAGGTTCATGGCCTCCGGCGTGCAGCTTCGAGCTCCAATGTCCACGTGAAACTCACCTTCTGTAATCTTGCTCAAATCAATTGCTGGTTCCGACCCATTATCTCCGTTAATACCGGCAGACTTTGTGACACCGTTGTCTCCCTCTTTCTCGTTCTTTACTCGCTCGGCACTGACATCACTGGTGAGTGTCATAAACCAAGCTAGTGTTTTCAGACTTACAGAATTCTCTCCGCGTCCACTTTCGCGGCCTCCTTGAGCTTCTCAGGGTCAGGCGCCTGTACTCCTTTCACTTCAGGGTGCTTCGCAGCCGCAGCCTGCGCTTCTGCAGCTAGCGAGCCGGGCGGCGGGCGGAAACCAAGTACTTTGTGCTCCGCGGACATGATCTTGCGCGCCTCGACTGCGTATACAGTGAGCCAACAGTCCGGATCAGGAACACAGGTATAGAGTACCTTTGCCAATTGCATTGAGGTCAATGCCGATTTGTCCAGCAATGACTGCTCCTGCAGATAGCCTTCGTGTGGCGAGTGCATTCACGACTGTTGTGTTCTCGGGGTTGGACACCCTTGCGGCGGGTGGGTGAGACACAGGGTCGAGCGGCAGGCTCACTGCTAGGGTCTTGATCTCTCGCATGATATCCCCAGAGAGCAAAGGCACTTCCGACGCGACGACGGGAACAGCATGGGCGACGCTGACGGACATCCTGGGTTATGTTTGGGGACGAGTAGGGTGTAAGTGCAATAGGACGGTTACGTTGAGCGTGGGCCGTCGCTGGTGGATACTTATACTCTCCGCACATCATGGAGTCTTTGCGTCACACCAGCAGACTCGCACCAAGGGGCGCGCGAAAGGTAAGAGCCGCAGCAGCCCGAAGCCGCGAGCTATGCTCTTCGCAGCGGTTGCTTCTGCACTTCACATACTAGGATTTTAGGCGTGAAGCCCGAGGTGTGCGCAGCAGGAAAGACACACACCTTGGGAGATACAGTGAGAAAGTTGGAGCAGAGCAAGCGGAGTACATTGTTAAGCCGGAGCGCTCCAGTCCGATCAAAAAAGCGCATCACCGACCCGCTTCCATCATTGATGACCGCCACTGCCCCAGATGGCGGGACATGAAGATGAACGGGGAAGGGACGTGGTCTGCACCGCGTGGTTGCATGTTTCATCGCACTCGGCTGCTACACATTACTTAAGAACTAACGGCGGGGGCTGTCCTATTATGGGCACCCCGCCCAGGTCACGGAAGTCGCCGAGGTCGCCGAGCTTCTCTGTCACCATCGAGGTGCTGTACAGGTGTTGCCATCGGGGATGCGTTTTTTTGGGCTGATCCCTCGCTCTGCCCGGGACTGCGATCTTCAGCGCTGACTATAACCTTGAAGAAGGAGGCGGCCTCGAGTTCGCGTGTGCTAGCCGTATGTTTCACCATGTCGTCTGCAACGTTTCACCTCATCAGCCGTACATAGGTCGGCGCCAGGGTAACATTGCTTTTGATCCCACACACCCATCTTAAACGACTGTTGAATCCAAGTGTTTGAGCGAGCTGCAACTATGCCCCTCTTTCGCTCGCAGTCGCAAGGTTCTACCCAATCATCGCGCTCGAGGCGCTATCGCGAATCAACACATCTCATCCCGACACCTGGAGTTGATATAGCTCGGCCGGACAGACATGTACGTGTAGCTCTAGCATACCTTCTGGGCAAACTGCTTAACGATTGCTCTTTGTCTTCAGCAAGCTTGGCCGTTCTCCACATGGAAGGTGCTCGCCTTGGCTGTCTCCATGATCATGTTGGGGATAACCATCGAGGTAGCCCAGGCGATCTCTGTGCGAAATAATGGTAAGTTCTACTGGCTTGCTGAAAGTGATATGCTTTTGACAATGAAATCTCTGTAGGCTTCACCGTCCCTCAAAAGAACGTGTTTGGAGGAGTCGCGTCGCCGTCGTTCTTGACGGTAAGTCGTAGCAGGAGGAAGTGAAATAACCTCAGCCTCATGTGTGTTAGGCATTCTTCCCAACGCTTCTCGTATATCCTCTCAGCTACTTCTGGATTTCCGCAGATCGTGTTCTTCGATGGTACCAGGTGCGATAGACACGTTTTCTCGTCGAGTTACGTCCACTCAGACCAGCCCCAGCCGTATATCATCCTGTCGCAAGGAGGCGCGCGTGCAGAAGACAGTCTTCTGGTGGATTATGTCATGTCGAAGTGCGTCCTAGTTTTTTTTTACTCGGTTACTCAAGGGCTTAACAAAATGTGGTAGTGTTGTCGTCTCTCTATTTAGGACCCTCAGACGCAAAGAGTGGTTGATCCACATCTCCATGATCACCGCTCTTGCGACAAGTCTCTATCAACCATTGGCCGGCGCGGTGCTTTCAATTCGCCAAATACCTATGACACATCGTAAGTAAAGTGCAGGTACCAAGTCGCTTTAAACAGCCTAACAGGTTCTCAGCGCAAAACGTGACAATCACAACTACTCTCGGGTTGGCCCCAGATACTACTCTGAACACCCTGGACCCATTCCTCGCTGCAGCAGGCGTACGTCCTTCTGAAATCCTCTCGCTATTTTTCGTATCCCTCATGTCTCACAGTTCACAGAAGCAGCAGCTTTCCAGAGTCTTCCCGATCCGCCTTTCGTCCAGAATGGCTGGTCGATCGCACAGTTTAACGTGCGTTAGTTACTTGCCTCACTCACACCTTGCTCATTCTGCCTCTTCGCAGGCTCCCTCCGCTGGAGGTCTTGACGTATCCTTGACGCTGCCTACAACAGGAATTAACAGCACTGCGAATTGCACCGTTCCGCCGTCCATAACCTTGAACACCAGTAATGCGAGCGATTTCACTATCACTGCGACCGACAAGGATGGTTGTACATCCGTCGCATCCTTTGACCCTTCAAGCGCAGACCAACAATACGGCACGTCGCAGGCATATCCGGGTACCTGCGGGCTTGACCCGACCCTCGACGTCTCATTCTCACCCCTCGTGTTCTGGTTCTTCCACACTGCCAACAATGGGACCCCGCAAGCTCAAGCTGTCATGTGTCGCCCCAGCATCCAGCTGTACAATGTGGATGTGTCGGTGTACCTGACGAACAATAGCCTGACAGACGCGACAGTTCTCAATAACTTCACGTCTCCGAATAATATCACTGGAGCCCCACTGAATGGCAAAATATATAATGCGTCCGTGCCTCTTCTTTTTCTAACGATTATCTGTGACTAAGTATTATTGCAGGGTGCTTTTTAATCAGAGCGGCATGGACGACTTCGTCAAGGCGCGAGCGGTGGCCATCCAATCGCTAATCCCAGGCGCTATCTTCCGCCTCGCATCCCAGGATCCAGCCTTCCTGCAGCAGTCCTTCGATAGCCCGGATAACTTCTTGTCGCTGACAAACAGCATATATGTATGTGTCGTCCGACGCCGCGCCAATCAACACTCACAATTTTTTTTAGACGCAGCATCTCGCGGTCAGCGGAAAGTCGGTGTACTTCGTGGCGGAGAACGGGAACGCCATGGCGCAAGAGACGTCGTTGGTCGAGCGTCTCGTAATCGAGTAAGTTCACCCCGTGTTTCGGACCCTTCCGCCGTCTTGACGCCTCTCCACAGCGCGCTGGCAGCGCACGGGCTCGCGGGGCTGCTGATGCTCATCGGCCTCACCGGCATCGCCGTCCACCTGCTGCACCGCCACATGCGGCGGGGGCTCTACCTGAGCGCCGCGCCGGGCACCATCGCCTCCGTCGTCGCGCTCACGTCGCACTCGGGCTTCGGCGACCTGCTGTACCCGTACGACGACCCGCGGGCGATCCGCGCCAAGCTCGCGAACCTCCGTTTCAGCCTCGACCGCCGCACCGGCGCGATCGTCGCGGACGAGTACGGCTACAACGGTTCTGCGGAGGAGATGCGGCGGCGCGTGGGAGAGCAACACGCGGGCGGCGCCGAGAAGATGGAGATGCGGCGCATGCCGGAGCCCACAGCGGGTCTCGTTCAGCACCAGCCGCAGGCCGAACCGGACATGGAGGAGGCATATATGCCTGAGCTGCCCTATGAGCAGGAGCCTCTAGTCTCGCCACGACCCACACGCTAGTAAAGGACTTTATAGACTGCGATACATGTTGTACGAGTGAGTAGATGGTGTTTGTATCTATTGCTGTCGCGATAAGGACATGCGGACCTTGACGTATACTGGTACAGTTTTTATATATGTAACTTCTGTTCAGTCAATAGACTTCGTCGAAAGATTGTAAATTCTATACTTGCTACGCTACAAACATGCTTCTGGTTACTATACAATTGGAATAGAGTCAATGAGCTCTAGAGATATGGTGTTTGGGGGTATCACAAAGCGTTATTTACTGCAGGGATCCGATGCGCTTCCAGTATCCAACCCAGTTCATCGCATCCTTTCCACTGAACTGGGGCATCACGCGCAGAGACGGTGCGGCCTTCTGGGCCTCGGTGACATCCATCTGCGGGAGGCCCATCGCCTCGGGGGAGCGTCCAGCGAAGGTCTGGGCCTCCTTGAAGAAGTCGAAGAGCTTCAGCGCCGGGTTGTGGCGCATCATCTCGACCTCGGACTCGGCGCTCAGACCGCGACCGCTCTTCTCGAGGCGCGCCATCCACTCGTCATAGGACACCTGCTCAAGGCCGAACGCGTCCGCGAGCGGCACAGTCACCGCGCGCCACTCAACGGGCCGCGGGTGCGCGAGGTGTAGCGTCGATGCGGATGCAGTCATCATCTCGATGAGGGCTGTCGCCGAGGAATCGACCGGTATCCATGAGATAGTCTGAAGAGCGGACCGTCAGCTCAGAGCACAACTTTAAATGAAGGAGAGTACGCACCTTGTCGAGAATGGGAATGCAGCCGAGGTACACGCTCGACTTGACCAGCGACGGGAACCACTCCTGCGTGTTCCATGCTCCAGAGAGCGAGCCGGTCATCTGGCCGACGCGGACAGAGACCGTAGGGAGCCCCCGCTCGCGTGCGGCAGTGCTCAGGATCGCCTCGGACACCCACTTCGACTCGCTGTAGCCGGAGCCAGCAGCAACGCGCGCCTCGAGCGTCCTCTCGAGCACCGGCTTGGACACGTCAATGTCGCGGAAGACGCCAATGGAGCTCACGAAGACGATTTGCGGCGGCACCGGGTAAGGAGATGAGAGCGCCAGATCAATAAGGTTGCGCACACCACGTACGCTGGGCTCGAAGGAGCGAAGCGAGAGGTTGAAGTTCACCGGCCATGCTGGGATCGGCGTCAGCCTTGGTTCGCATAAGGATACCGAGAAGACACGTACCATTGTGGATGACGCGCGTGACCGACGTGCGGAGTTCCTCGTACAGCTCGTCCGGCAGGCCAAGTTTGTCGTCCTCGACGGTTGTTTCGACAAGCGTCAGCTTTTCGGAAGACAGGATATCGAGATCGTATCCGCGCTCCTCAAGGCTTGCCTTCTGGCGCGTTGCGAGTGGCTTGCTGCTCTTGCGGTTGAGCGCATATACGCGCCGCACCGATGCATTCTGTATGAGCTGCGAGAGGAGGCTCGCGCCAAGGCCGCCTGTGGTACCGGTAACGAGGACGACTTCCGCAGTCGGCGCAGGTGCGGAGGGAATGTGCGTCGGGAGGTCGTGCGTGTACTTCCCGACGATACTGTTCATGAATGCTACAGCGCGCTCCTGTTCCGAACCGGCTTCGCCGTCCGCGTTCGCGAGGCTGGCGACGAACGTCGCGAGTGCGTCGACGGTCGGGTTCTGGTACACAAAGTTGCCCGGGACCCGCCGCGTGTCGACTTTGGTCGTGTCACGTAGAGCGTGGAGCAGCGAATTCCTGATCCATGTTGCCTCGAGGCTGTCGCAGCCGTGCTGGAAGATGTCGTCGTTGTCACCGACGCCGTGCTCGAGCACCCGGGTTACTACTGCACGGACGAACTCCTTAGCCGGCTCGTACGCCCACGACGAAGGCGGGACGAGGTCGTCCTCGGACGCTTCGTCCGCCGCAGCGTAGAGCGCCTCGATCTCCTCGGCGTACTCATTGACGATGGCAGCACGGCGGGCCGTGTTCTTCGCGGTGTACGTAAACGGCTTTTGTGGTGAGGCGACCATGATCATCTAGAACACCTGGTGAGCGTCATTTTGGACCCTGGCCGTGCACTGAGCTTACCTCTTTGAACAAGCGCGAGTGCTGAGGAGCATAATCGTTCATCCTCTCCACTGTCGGCCTGCGATGCCTGTTCAGCACCTCGTCAGAGGCATCGAAATTGAACACTCACCAGATCACATTCCGGAACTCGTTGAGCTTCTCTTTGTCCACAGGGTCGAAAATGAACTCGGGTGCTGGCTCGATGACGACACCCGTGTTGAACTTTCCCCTGCCAAACATGACAGCGCATTTGATATGCGAGTCCTGGTTGAGAATTGCCTCTGCACTCTCTGTAAGTTCTTGCATGCGGGGAATTATCGCAACAAGATGACGCACCAAGCGGACCAGGGTTCGTCTTCTCGCCGGTGCTATGCATAATCTGGTCGTCTGTACGGCCGAAAACCTTGTAGAAGCCGGGCTTCGTGGGGTGTGGCGCGAGGACATCATTCGTGTCATACCCAGGCACACCATCGACGACGATGTTGAGGACCGAGGGCACCTGAAGGGCGCTTGGCTGGAAGGTTGTCAGTATCCGAGAAGTGAATTATCGCATTGAAATGCGTACCATGAGGACCAGCTGTACGTTACCATCATCGTGCGGGAGCCAGCGCGCTTTCAGCTCCTCAGGCATGTCAAAGTATTCCCAGTCCTTGTCGACGGTTTCTGAGCGCATGTCAGGACATGGGCGTCTTCAAGTTCTAACGGAAGACTCACTTGGAAGGATTTTGTTCATGACACCGTACTCTGATGTACCGTACATAGTAAAGACTGGAATGCCGGCTGCGATAAGTTGGTCGCCGACTTCCTTGGCAAGAGGGCCTCCGCCGTATTGCTATATAAGATTTAGCCTCCTACATTATCTCAACGGAAGAGATGTGAACTCACGATGCCCTTCGTCTTCTTGAGGATCTCGATAGACGCAGGAACCTTTGCCCATTCCTAACAGAACATTTAGCTCTTTGTCTCCATATCAGTACGTAGAACACACCTCGACGAAGCTCGGCACACAAATGATAAGGTCGCTCTTTGTGGTGGCCACGGCACTGAGCATGGTATCGGGGGCGGGGACGCGTGCTGGCGACTGCGGCTTGAAAGTAGTCATGATGCTTCCGACACATGGCTAGGCGGAAATGAGCGATGGAGAAGAATAAAGGCGCGACGCGGCGTGCTTACCTGGAAGCCGACCTGCAGGATACCCATGGCGTGGAAGATAGCCAATGTGTGGCAGGCAAAGCGAACTCCCGTGAGATCTTGTTCGCCGTGGTCTGTATAGGCAGAAGACCGATGAGGCTAGCGTCTGACTATGTTTGGAAGGTGACGTACATGGCAAACGACCGCTCATGATTTGGCGATAATGTGTCCAGGCAATCGGCTTGGGGAACGCGGTTGATCCTGCCACAAAGAGTCAATGAGGAGCCCGCAGATATGAGCAGACTTCACGAACCTGAGGAGTGCATCATAATCGTCAGGTCGTCGAAGTCCGCGTGCACAGGTGGCAAAAACTCGACCGGAGCGTTGTTGTACAAATCCTCGAAGACCAGCATCTGTGCCTTGTGTGGCAGAGCCGTGTTCGACTCGCGCATGATCCCGAGCGCAGTCGCCGCCAGCTCCTGAAGCGCGGGCTCAGGGCCGACAAGGAGGTACTCCGAGCCAGTCTTTGTGAGCAGGTGCGCCACGGCAGCGGGCGAGTTCCTTGGCGAGACTGGGAAGGCGACGAAGCCCGCCCGCTGGACGCCGATCAGCATTGTGACGTAGGTAATTGTGTCTGAAGCCAAGGCGTCAGTACGACTGCTCAGCTTGGAATCTATATACCGCGCAAGACGTACCTGGGGATGCAACGATAGAAACAATTGGCTTTCGCTCAGTCAAAGCAGGACGTGACTCGGCAAAGGTTTTGACGAAGCGTCCACCCCTGTGCATAGCCCGGTTTGCCTCTGGCCATCGGATCGTCGTGACATGGCCGTCGTCATCCGAGTACTCGAAGGCAGGGTGTTCAGAAGAATGCTCTGCGTGCCAGTCCCACATCTCAGCGATAGTGAGCGAGCCATCAAGAGGTGGTGGTGTGAAAGTAGCTGTGGACAGCGCTTGTGTTTTAGGCGCGGACTCGATAGGGAGGAACTTGAGGGTGTTGGGGTTGATTGTCTTAGCGTCCATTAGTAGGGTGGGTTTTACTTGTAAGAGTTGTAGGCAGTGGATGTGAGGTTGTGAGGCTGTTTGGTGCTCTGGTCATCTCGAGGATGCGAGGATATATACCCTTCAGAGGTTTGTGCACCGGCCGAACGGAGAGCAGCTCGAAGAGAATGTCAGATCGTGCGCTGGGTGGGACCGTCATGTGTAACGTGGTTCGTGCTCGCTAATGCTCGCGGTAGAAGGCAGTGAGGAGGAATGATACGTCACGCTTCGCGAAGGCTTGCTCGGACTCACGGCGGGTTCCTTGGTGAGGAATGAGAGCAGAGTTTCTCCGGACGTGGGAAGTAGGCGACCTCGTGGTCAGATCGTTCTCAGCCATCGCGACCGCCAATCAGGATGTGTAGTCATCCGGGTCCGTGTTCCTTTCTCCCGGAATGTGTTTTTGGCAACCTGTCCAGTGTGGAACGATTATAATCGATAAGCCGCTGTGCCCGTTGCGTCAAAATCGCAAGTAATTGCCTCTCATCTCCCTTCTGGGCTCATGCTGTGTGGGTGAGGTGGCAAGGTGGCTTCTTGCCATTGCCTGCTGTGTATTGAACACCGTCTACGTTTGGAGATAGCCATGTCGGATATTATAGGCATAACCGTACCATTTGCGAGGAGCGTCTAGAAGCGTTTTCAGCCAGGGGAGCATGAGGGAGGGGATGCGAACGCAGCATCGGAGGCGGCTGCTTCGTAACGGCCTGACAGAGCAGGCTGAGCTTCGAACCGCCAAGGCCGCGCAAACTGAGGGTGTGGGATAAAGTGAGTATCCCCGGGCCAAGATTGGCTCTTGTTCAGCTTCTTTCGTCGGCTATTAGGAGATCAAGCGCCCATAAAACCGCGGCGGCCGCCACAAAGTTACTCGAGGCGAGATGTCACTACACGCCGCTCGCCTTTCAAAAATACTCTGTGCAAAATGGGATGAGCTGCAGGTACCGTAACAGCGAAGGGCTTGCCACGGGTACACGCTCGTCCGCAGAGGTGCTGCATACACCTACCAAGCGCTTGTGAGCGTTACGGAAGCGTCGAAGCACGTTTCGAGCAGGTGCTTCGCCGCTCTCAGGTTCTCGGTGAACAAGATGTAGAGCGAAAAGCCTCCGCCAGTCTCCAGAAAACGAAGAGAATGTCGGGGCGCGGCGCACAGCGTTCCAGAGGCCATGAAGGTCCTGACGTCGCCGCTAGCCTGGGATCACCGGCGCACGGGCTTCGTCCTAGAAGATCGGCTGCCGAGTGTTCCGCGTCCGCGCTCTTTCGCCAGTTCACAGCGCACGATCTTCGCTCGACAATAATACCACCGATTCCCCGACGCACAGCTATGACTCGGCTAGGCGGGACCCCCGCGCGGACTCAAGGCCACGCTGTTCACACTCAAATGAGCGTACAGCCCAAGCGAAACAGGCTGCATATCTAGCGCACCTAAGCGAGGCTGTTAACCTTGCTCGCGTCTCCGCGCGGCGACGAGCCTGGTCAGAGTTAATATCAGGCTTCGCAGTGTGCTGTCAGAGCGAACAAGGAGAGATGGCTCCAATTTTCCCTGCGCGAGTTCGTTGTAAAATGCATGAAATGACAGAACAGTGTTCATTAGAGCTGTCTGCTTTCATTTTGCCGAACGGCGTTCGTCAAGTATGCGGGAACTGAGTAAGAGGCGAGAGACGCGTCAGCGACTAGATGCAATGACCACCGCCATCAAGCGCATCACGGAACTCTCCGGAAGTCAACCTCGGACTTGGTCGGCTGCGACCCCAAGGCGAGCAAAAGACTGGAGTACGTGAACTTTGAAGATTTAAAGAATTGCATAGGATCGCCGGGACTCCCACAGTGAAGATTTAACGTACAACGGTGATCGCGGATATATACCAGTCTTGTAGAGCCGAGATGATTCATACAATAAAAGATGGAAAGCATGTGCGGGGTATACAGTCTAGTGTGTGCTTATCTTCCGGTTCGTGGCTCGTGACGTATGAAGATCTATGTGCGTGAAGAATGATGTTCGTGAAAATTTGGAAGTCTAGCGGTCAGTGTCTGGCCGCGAGTGCGGATAGCAGGATGTCGTAGTCCACTTTCGCAGCTAGACGCAGGCAGACGCGCGTGAGTATCTTCAGAACGCAAGCATAGACGCAGAAAAGGGAAGCACGCACCTTTCAAGATCAGCTTCACCAGAGTCTTGGCCATCTCAGCGTGCTCCGTCTCCATGCGGCGCAGACTCTCGATGCTGAGCTTCCACACAACCGCCGGGCGCTCGACGACGCACGTCGCGTTGCGCGTGCTCTCGGAGAGCGCGCTGAGCTCGCCCGCGAGCGTGCCGGCGACCATGCTCTCCTCGGTGTCGGGTGTGTGTGCCGCGAGATGGTATACCGCGCGGAGCACGCCGCTTTCGATGAGGTACAACCCGTCGGACGCGTCGTCCTGCGTCCAGAGCACGAAACCCTCCGGCAGCGTCATCCGCTCGAGGTACGCCCCCAGCGGCGCGAACAGTGCCTGGCTCACCTCGTCATACGACGAGAACGCCTTCACGAGCGTGACGTACAGCTCCGGGTTATCGGACAGTGGTAGCTCTGGCGAATGATCCCGGGCGATCGTCCGCCAGCCAGCCTCGAGCAGACGTGACCGCCGCGGAGTGCTGACAATGTCATCACCAAAGACGATATCGTCCTGCCGTCCAGGGAGAGCTGAGGGGAGATATTCGTCATCATGGGATAATCTAGCATCAAAGAAGTCACGCACCGATGCTGCGAGTCTCCACCTTCTGCGACTGGAACCACACCCGCAAGTAGGCATTCTCCGTCCCTATAGTCCAAAGATCAGTCGTATCGTGACACGTCGGGCTCGCATGGAAAGACGAACATTCCAGGGCGTCATTGAACGCCGAAAAGAGCTCCACACCTTCCATCTCCAACAGGTCCACGCTCCGCAGCGCACGGCCGATCGGCGTCTCGGCGTTGAACCCGCAGAAGACGAGGATAACCTGCTTCGCGGACAGGAGGCGCTGTACACGCACGAAGGCCTCGGCCGCGGACATATCGACGCCGGCGACGAGTGAGAGGTCGAGGATGAGGAAGCGCACAGGGTTATCGTGCCACTCGGGGCCGTCGACGAGCGTGCGCATCTGCCCCTCGACGCGGGTAATCGTTCCAAAGAAGAGGAAACCTTGCAGGCGCATGACCGTCGTCTGCTTCGAGGCCTCGCGGACGAAAGCGCGATGGCTCCCCGGGCGCCGGACGGTTGACATGACTGTCTCGCCGGTGTGTAAAGCCCTAATGCTCTGCCGCCTGGAGCTTTGTATGACGAAAAAGAAGCCTATATTCATAGCGTCAGACGGCTTCAATAGAAGATGCGGACGCGGGCACTCACAGCTGACGACGATCCCGAAGAGCACTCCGATAACAAAGTCCCAGATCGTCATGCAAATCATAATGCTCGCGATCGTGATGTACTCCGTCCTGCAGAACGCGGCTGATCAGTACTGTTGGACCCTCTTGTGGAGGCGCGGAGACGTACCGGTTGACACGATGCCTCGTATCCCAGAGCGCTTCCTTGACCAGGTCGATACCCAGGACGAAGATCAGCGCACCTACGACCATGACAGCTGCACTGTCTATTAGAATAGAGATTCCCCGGAGACGAGAAGATACACACGGATGTAAGAGATGAAGGCGGTGCCCGCGAATAACAGTACAACGGTCAAGCCCGCAAGCATGAAGCCGGCGACGCGGCTGTCGCCTCCGACGCGATAAAATCTGGGACGATCAAGGTTAAAACTAGAACGACACCATCATGTTCGGGAGAGCGCATACAGCAGCGTGTTAACATAAACAAGATAGTTTGGGCTGTAAATTCGAATGAGAATCTTCGTCGTATACCAGAGTTCAGGCAGGTACGTACACGGTGCCGAAAACACCAGCAAGTAGATTAGAGTACCCATGTCCGACCAGCTCCTTGTCAGTGTCCACGTCGTGGTTTATGGAGACAGCTGGAAAGCGAGCGTCAGCCTGAGAAGAAGCGCCGGAGCGCGAAATCAGTCATAGCGGCTTACCGAGGGCGGGCACGTTCAGAGGCGGATGCAGGATGTTAAAGAATAGCCTAGGTGAGAATTAATAAAGAGTTTTACAGACTGCAATAGATTAATATCACGTACAAGGCGAACTGTGTCGGCAGAGTGGACCATAAGACACCCCACCGTGTCGCACGAAAGTCTGTTAGGTCTGGTCAACACCCCCGTCGACACCGAATGAATACGAAACATGTACCAAAGAACGTATAGAATTGCCACCATGGGTCGTCGGCGGTCTCCATATCGAACACCCAGCCAGTTTCGCGTAGCTTGCCCAGGTTGAGGCGTGCGGCCGCAACAACGATATAAAAGATGATAGGAATAGCGATAAAATCTACACAGGCCTCGTCAGCGATGTGTCGAGCGAGACAGCAAAGGCCGCTCACAGAGCGGAAAGATTAGCTGATGGTGAAACTTGTGTGTGATGAGGCGGAGCACGACAGCGAGAGCGAGAGCGGGGACCCATAGAGTGAGGTTGTGCAGATTGAGGACAAGGAATTTGAGAGTAGACAGCGAGAGCGTGAATTCATCGTCGTCCATGCGCGTGCTGACCACTAAGCTATAGGGCCTCGTCAGCATCCCACGACCGAACCACTATGAAAAGCATATACCCAGTAATAATCAAAAATACACCAACACCCCCGATACATCTGTATTGCAGAAATCATTTCGACGAAGATCAGTGCAGAGGCAAGGCAGACAGACGTACCCAACAAGAATGTGTCGCGGAAAGAATCCGATAAGTGAGCCCAAACGGAGAGCACCCAACAGGAAGAAAGTCAATCCTGATTGCTATTGTCAGCGGCGCATATACAAGCCCAAAAAGTGGTTGCACCTGTTAGAAGAGAAGAGAGGGCGAATGAGACGATCGTCGTGGCAATGATCTCGCGTTTGTTTTCGTATCCGATCTGATTCGCGATGTCATTCGCCAATATGTGAAAGAAGGGCTGGGTAGGAAGGAAGCCGGAGCTATGTCATGCGGGGCTTCCAAGTGAAAGAGAAGAATCAGACATACCACGACCTCGATCATCATGCTTCCATTGGCTCCTGCGAACCCACTGCCACCTACGGAGTACACGAGCTGCGAAATGATTGCCCTTAAGGGATTTTAGCGAGGGAACGGCAATAGCGCGAAGGGTGCGCACGAGACGAAAAACATGGATACACCGACACCTCCTAGCCCAGTGAACACCCCAGTAGCAGGAAAGATGATCATACCATCTAGTCACGATCGATGAGAAAAGGCATATATTGATGAAATTTTGTAACTTACACGAGATACCATCGAGAATGTTCAAAAGCGTGCCCAACATCACGGCGGGTAAGGACTTCACCGCGAGCGCCGGTAAGTTTACCAGCTTGTCTGGCCCCGGTAGCCACCCCACGAGTGTTCCACGAGTCGTGCGCTTCCCAACAGCCTCAGGCTGTGGATGTCCATTGGTCTCTGGGCCCGCTGGAGTGTGTCCGTTGGTATATGATGTGCGCGCAGCCTCGATGTCTCCAAGTAAATGCGACTGTTCCGAATACCGTCTTGACGGAACTTCGGTGAGACTCTGTATGCTGGGGTCTGATTGGGCCACATCTGGTAACTGAAGCATATGTATGCCAGGACGGGGATGTGCCAAGGTAGGTGTGGGTAGCGAGTCTTCAGACGGAACATCTGTAGGTAGTCCTTCCTCCGACGTCTGTCGTGCCAGCAAAAGCGACAGTCCCGAAGGTTGGAATAGGCCAGAAGATCCGCGAGGCGGTGGCGCAGCGGTGCCAGCAGAGGAGAGTGTCTCTGTCGAGGAGGACATAATGTCCGTGGCGCTGTCCGTAGTGATGTCTGACCTGAGCGATGCCGATATTGAAAGGGCATGTTCCGGAGGGACCTGGAGCGACCTCGTCGGAAAGATGAACGACTCGGATGAGTTCGCGGACAGCGGGGACTTCAGGGGCAAGCTGGACAGCTGCATCGTGCTGTCTCGGATGGCTTCTTGGGCATGGGGGGCGAACTGCTTTGGCAACTTCGAATGAGAGGACATGAAGCTTCTGGGCTGCAGCAACCTGGATGCATGACGGTGGCAGTCAATAGGGGCGATGAAAGCTTGCAAGTACGGCGGCAACTCACCCTGCGCGACTTAGGGGGGAGTCATGCTCGTGTGTGAGGTTAGCCCCTGGTTCGTGAGGTGACACTGTTTCTGCGTCGCCATTGCTTGCTCTCGCGTTTACGATCTTGATGCTCCTCGGTGGGGTATCTGAACGACCAGCCTGCGCCTCTGATACTGGAGATGAACCAGCCATGGCAGCAGAGCGTGGACTGGGCGCGGTCTGCGACACCAGAGCGAGGGATATGGTTGGGCCGTTGAGTTCGATGTGTCGATTATCGCTGGAGGGCGAACAGCTCCAGTCAGTCGCTATCGCCGTGGTGCAAATTCAAGGAAATAAGGACATCGGCCAAGGGGTGTCGCTTGTGTAGCCTGAGGACAGGTATGAGACATAGAAACAGAGCATTTTTCTGCTCGCCCTTTGAGCTCCTCGGGGACCTCGATCCAGACCAAGCTTGGCTACGCGGAAATTGCCGGACACACTCCAATCAGGAACTGATGGGAGATTTTGCCGATGCTTCCGCTTTGAGCTGCATACCTGGATAAGGTAACCATCGTGGTCACAACTCAACTCGGTGGCACCTCTCGCAACTCTGTTGCGTGAAGCAGCGACCTGGTAGATTTTGGCTAACTGCTAGATTGAAAATGGTGCCATGTACCTTGAGATTGAATATTAAGAGCCAGCTATACACAAGGAGTTAGCTATAGCTTACCCCAAGGTTAGTCATGCGAGTGCCAGCGGCCGCTATACCGGATGCTTCGCAAAGGTCACGAGCTGCACCAATACACTGCAAGCCTTCTCGATTCCCGGAAGAGATCAAATACAAGAAGGTCCCGTGAACGGCAAGGTAGCTAGAAAATAAGATAAGTGCTGCCGCTGGCTCAAGGAGATGGTGGTACGCCGGAGTATATCTCGTCGCAAGCATTCAGCAAACATTCCAACCTTTCAAGGCCTTGGGAGATACAAGCCAGTGGCGCTGCAGACGCCTCTGCAAGCCGAAATTATACATTCAATACGTAAGCTTGCGTGTGCGTCACTGCGGCTGTCAATGATCTTGCATGGTCCGTCCGTCCGTCATTTCCTAGCACCACCTGGCCGGAGACACATGACTGTCTACCTAATGAGCCACTAAAATGCTCCGCTATGTGAGAATGCGGCCTTATACAATCTGACGCTATAGTGAGATACGGCCCGCGGACGATCGCTGCAATAACGGGAGAGTCTTTCATGTGTACCCGGCGTCTTACTCGACAACTTGCCTTATATGTCCGCACCACAATTAGGCTTTTAGCATTTGGACCCTAGAGAAGAGTCATCACCACCCATTTGATTTGCACGTGGACGACAAGCTCTTCTAGTTACATCGCAGGCAGCTTGTATTGCCAGACCACCTGTCCGGATGATCCCGCTCGAAAATGGATCCGTCACACGCCCTGCACTGGATTCTCTTGCATTGGACGCTATCGCGCCAGAGTTGCACAATCTCACGCTCATGCTCCTCCAGCGCAGGCGACCGGTACTCTTGACGGCGAATGTCTCGCCGTTTAGGTCGTATGCGGTAAAAAGCTGCACCCCACCTGGACATTCGAATGCCTTAACGTTGCATGAACAGCTCGGACATGAATTCCGTCAACAATTTCAGACACACTATCAGTATCGAGTTATATCCTGTTCCAGTACATCTTCCTGGATAATGTGAGAGAGATCAGACACGTGTTGTATCAGATTGTACGAGAGACGCACATCTCGCCAGTAAGTATAAACAGATTTATGTACTCTGAATTTTATCTTGTTCGCAAAAGATCGGTTGAGATATTGGAACGAGAGAATCTACAGGCATTTTTAAACGAGAGAATGGCGTACTCCTGCGCTCTGTGGGATTCAGAAGAGGGGAGGGAGGGTTAGCAATGAAAGCCTGGATCGTTTAACAGGCCGCATAGCACTACTGAAGAAAGATATCGAACAGATCGAGATGAAGGAGAGAATCGAGCACTGCAAAAACAGCCAGCACCCCTCTGATATCATCTCGCCAAGGATAGGCTCAGTTGGACGTCTAGCGACAATTTTTGGGCACGCCGAAGTCCTCGGTGCGGAAGAGATTTTTGCCCCACCACGGCACTGAGAACTGAACATGGGCATCAGGGCCAAGCCCACGCGACGCAAAACCACGCCAAATCTCGCAGTAGTTCTCGCCGCCGGTGAGATGCCAGTCGGCCTGTATGATGGCGTCGCGCGCGTTGAGGAACGAAGGACGGCAGGGCTGGAGCTTCATGCCGCTGATGACGAGCTGCACCGCGAGCGTATTGCCATGCTTCGGGATGAGCTTGCCGGCGGTCGATTCGCGGTAGAAGTCGCCGAGCGGGATTTTACCGTTCTCGAGTGGCTTGGGCGGGAAGAGCGTGTCCGAGACGCCGTGCTTCCTGATCAGATGATGCTCGACCACCCAAAGCATCTGCGCCCAGACCTCACCAATCGCGTGCGCTTCCCAATAGAGGGGGTTATCAAGGGTCTTATAGGTTGTTGGATTTACACTCTTGTCCTGCAAAATCGTCAGACGTAAACTAACTTTACAACCAGATCCGAGCTTACCAAGCTGTAGGGATGTTTCCGGAGACCCCCAGCTTTGCTGGAGGCCCACGCAGCCATAGGATAGTCGCGAGATTCACGAACGCCGTTCTCCGCAGCCTTAGCGTCGGCGACGAGGTCCTTCACGCTGCGAACGGTGGTGGCCAAGAAGTCACCCCAACCTTCTCCCATACCACTGCCCTCGCCCCCGTTCCCGCTGAGGCAGTCGGAGTTCGATGGTCCACCGGTGAGACGAGTGGAAAGGCCGTGCGCAAGCTCGTGGATAATGATGCCAGCCTCCATAACACCATCCCTGTACGGGTTAGCAAAATTCCAGAGGAATATCTGGCAGCGACCATTCCGGCCATCTATTCATGCGACATGAGCGAAGGTACAGTGGATTGCCAGGATGAACGTACCAGGAGGGGAGAAAAACTGGGCGCTGTTAAACCAACTGCCTTCCTGGGCATCGGTAATAAGTACGTCGTTCTCCTTGCCACCGCGACCAAAGTTGTATTGCTGGAAGTTTCCGGAAACTTCATCGAAGCCGTAGCGATAGAAGAGGTCATGAATCAAGTTTGCCGTGTAGAACAGTTGTGTGACGGTCGCATTGATGTGTTTATAAGCCTCCTTCAACGTTTCGGGGGGACTAGTGGCCCGAGGAGCGTACGGGAAGTCGAAGACTAAACGTTCACTTTCCTCGCCGTCTGCACCCCTCGAGACACCAATAGTACCCTTGGGCCTGTGTTGCGTTACCCATTCCCAAATGCTTGCCCAGTTTTCGTGAGCGATAACATTGTTACCCCAGGTCGTGGAAGTGTTCTTGAAGAGTGGGGTCCCCCTGCTTGGAGCTGTAGGATCGCTTGATGACTCGACAACATGCCAGCCAACAGGGCTGGCGAGAACATCGAAGTTCTCATACTGGAACGTGCGGTCGCCCTCGGTAGGATCGTTGAGTCCCCACTCATGTACGAGATACTTCGCCGGCGCGCGAGTGGTCAGGACCTCAGTGGAGGCTTCCTTCGGAAGAGGCGCAAACCAGCCAAGGAGGTCGGTCAGTGAACCAGAGGAGCCGTCTGCGGCCCAATCGACGACGGAGATGATCCGATGCGGCTGGCTGTAGGTGACTGCCGCTGCGTACCAGTTGTGAGCCATCGGGACCTCGAACCTCCAGACGAGCTCAAGGCCCATGCCGCTACCATCTACCCTGGAAACTTGTATCCAGACCAGACGCCCGCGCACCTTGTCGGTTGCATCGGGGACACCGTCGACCTCAAAGGCTAGGCCTGCAGGCGCGTCATTGTTGTACAGGTGATGAGCCATAGTCAAGGTCATGCTGTCGATATATGTGCGAGGGGACGAGTGAATGGCCAAGGCAAGCCCGGAAGAAGGGGTAGCGTGAAGTACGAATACAAGGAGAGCGGACAGCGGGTTCTCCTCCTCGGACTGGGGAGTGATGGCGGAAGAAGAGACATAAAGAAGGCGGTCGCAGTTCGAGCTGAACAGCTGCGGAACTTGGCTGAGTGTCTCGGTCGCAAGTGAATCGAGCCGCCGACGCTCGGTAGGATCGCCAGCAGCAAGGGCCCACAACTCCCGCCATTCAGGTCGAGTGGGATATAAGGACTGGATATCTTGACGAAATTGCGACCATCTGGAACTATATTCTGCGCCTAGGGTGGCGCAGAGCTTGCTATGAACGTGCTCGAAATCTGACTGCGTAGAGGAGAACGCTGGCGACGGAAGACCATTCGTGTAAATCTATCGGAGCAAATATCAGCTGCAGCCCGTGGACCGTGACAACAAACCATAGCAGACTTCTGCAGTCTACGCGGGATCTATCGCTTTTGACAAGTGATCACGTGATCGTGCGCGACTTCGGGAACGAAAATAGTCGTTTGTTTTACAATGACGGGAACACTCACCGAGCTACCATAAGAAAGCACACGACCGTCTTGGATATTGATATTCAGGTTCACATCTCCGTCCGCAACCTCGATTCCGAACACGGTTTGGCGGAGATACACATGCGCGATATCGGTATTTTTGTCGACATACGAGTCCGGGCGAACGTAGAATGTCACGGCGGCGCCAACCTCATCCTTCAGTGGTGAACTCTCCGGGATGAGGGTCTTCACGAAGTCCTTGGCGATCTCGAAGGGATGTGGCTTCTCCGAAGACTTGGACCACGTCGACGGTTGGAAGGTCTCCGGAACGTCCGTTCGGAAGACAGCATGTGGATACTCAGGGCCGAAGCCCATAGTCTTGCGATAGCGGCCAACGTCGGCACTGCCACGACTCGCCGGTGGCGGCGATGCTGAGGCTGCAAGCGTGCCAGTGAGGCCGGCGGCGCATATGGAGGCGAGGAGTAAACGTTGCATCGCAATGCGAGCCCTCGAGTGGAGGAGGGGATTGTGGAGGAGAAAGAGAACAAGAATCGCGGTTATAGGTGTCAGGGTGAGCGAACATTCGCGAGCCTGAGGCTAGACACAAGCACGAGAGCGTGGAGCGAACATTCACGATGCCAACTACAGCTCAGGTACGCCGGTGACAACTCACTGCCGACATGGACAAGACCAAAAATGTTTAGTCCCATGTGCATGAGCTCTAAGATGGCGTGCGTCGGGAATTACTGGGTCCGAGACGTGCGTCCGTGAGTGATTACTGTGAACAGACTGTCTTGGAAGACACTGAGTCACCGGTGCCACCTCCCGTGCATTGTTGAGTCCCGCTCCGCTATTACAAGGTAAACGCCTCGCGCCATACCTTCCCAACATTAATGCTGTCAGAATATTGACATCACTCTCCTACGGGGCATTCGTGTTACAAAGAGATCAAGGTTAGCTTACATGACTCGGATGCAACACGTTGTTCTCATTCTCACCTTCTCAGAACACCACTCGCACTCGTGTTATCCTCAGTAAGATGACCACGGACCCTACATGGGCGCAGGCAGTACACAAGCTAAGATATCCTTTATGCCGACGTCCTGCTTATCATCTGCAGGTGTGGGGACCCTACCAGCAACGTTCTTGCAGCTGGTGACTCACCTCCGGAGTTCTAGGGTGCCGTTAGTTCCTTCCACGAATATGGACAGGTTATTCAGCTTCTGGCACGAAGCGTACCTCGGCGAACACATCCGGCTCCGTCACCGCCCGTACAAACACTGTGGAGGGCTGGAGATCATAAATTATGAAGATACGCGAAATCTAGTGGGTGGGTGTGGGTCCTGACGCGCTACTGGGCCGGTATATTATACAGGATGCTCATGATGAGATCAGTTCGTCTGCGTATCGAGAACGATAGGTATGGCATCAGAACAAGAGTCTCCGAATTCAGCGCTTGTTGAAACAGTACCCCAGCTTCATCTTAGAGCTTAGCGGCGATACTGCCGATCATTTGGCGGGCAGAAGTCCCTTTCATGCCAGCGCACTGCAACGTAGAGAACCAGCTGTCCTTTTTGACGGTCGCGTCCCAGAAGATGCGCTGGACCAACGCTGCCGGGGATCCTGGTGGCCGAGCTGCTGAACGATCCACCGCTATCACGGTATGCGGGTATGTACGCACCTTTCACAGGTCCAGACGGACCAAAGCCAAAGAGGCTATGTAAAATCCAGGCTTCAGGGATGAGCGATGTGATCGCGTAGAAGAGCAGCGTCCAGAACAGGACAGGGTGCCGTTCAACCAAGTCTCCTGTAGCATTGTTGGCGACGGTCCTTGTAATGGTCCAAGAAGACAGCACACACCCGTGGTAACGACGAACTTTTCCACGCAGAAGAAGAACTTGTCCACAGAGGCGCGAAGAACATCAGTCTGGTCGTCTGACATCCCGAGGTTGCGAGCCAGGCTAAGCAACGATTTCTCTATCTTCTGCAATGCTCTTCTTGTCACTTCCTGTCGCTGGAAATGGCTGGGAGCTTCATTGGGGGGAGGGAAGGCTTGTTCCAGTTCCTTGAGAACGGCGTGTAAGGCGGTAACAACCTTGTTCGAGATACTCTCCATAGTCAGCCCTTTCTCCATGAGATGCGCGAAGTGATCTTGGATAGCATTTGCACTATGGAGAAGTTCCCGGATAATCGCTGTAAGCGATTCAATGCCGTCTTCGTCAATGGGCAGTTTCTGTACGGCGTTTCTGGGATCTTTCTCCACTTGTTTCACGATTTCGGTCGGGCATGAGGTAATCTTTTGCGACATACCTGAGGCTTTGTGGGATAGCAACTTCAAAGGCTCCTTCCAAAACCTAGTATAAATGCATATTCAATGTCAATGTTGTCTCTACGGTGGTTGGACAAACTGACGACGTCTCTTCCGCGCTCACTGAATTTGATGCAGCCGCGCGTTGCGGCATGAAGACGCACAGCCAAAGCACCCTGACGGCAAGCGTCCTCAGCGTCGCACTAATCAGCTCCATCTCGTCGTCGTCTGGTGACTAGATGTGGTCGAGGAAAAGATCATTCGACGCCCTCAGGAGGTTCATCGTCCTTTGGTGACAAATATGGCTTGACAGCTGCCACGAAGAATGCCGCATACGGCGTCCTAAAATGCTAAATTACAATAATGACGAGTTGTACAGAGACGATGGCACGTGCGACAAAAGAGCAGCCATTGGTGGGTCGTCGACCCTCGTTAACACAATACCCCAGACCCAAATCCTAACCCAGCACCAATACCTCCAATGATCTTGCGAGGAACAGTCCCTTTCATGCCGGCTCGCTGCAATGCAGAGAACCAGCTGTTCTTCTTGACGGCTGCACCCCAGAAGGTGCGCTGGGCCCATGCTGCCGAAGATCCTGGTGGTCGAACCACTAAGCGATCTGTTGCCATTATGATACGTGAATGTATGCGCACCTTTCACGGGCCCAAACGGACCAAAGCCGAAGAGGCTGAGCAGCGGGCGCAGAATCCAGGACTCAGGGATGAGCATCGCGGTAGCAGAAAATAGCAGCGTATCAAGCAGGATGGGGTGCTGTTCAGCGAGGTCTCCTGTGACACCGTTAGCGACAGCTCCTATAGTACCTAGGTGACAGGACGCACCTGTGACGACGACAAGCTTCTCTATGCAGGGGACGAGTTTGTCAAAGGAGACACGAAGAGCCTCAACCTTGTCATCCGACATCCCGTGCTTCCGAGCCAAGTCGAGCAGCGCACGCTCAGTCTTCTGCAGTGCGCTCCTCACCATGTTCTGTCGCTCGGCATGGCTCGGGGCTTGATCGGGGGGAGGGAAAGCTTCTTTCAGTTCCTTGAGAACGCCCTGCAAAGCAGCAGCAATCTCGTCTGATATGCCTTCGAGAGTCATTCCTTTCTCTGTGAGATGCGCGAAGTCTCCTTTGATGGCGTTCGCGCCGTAGAGGAGCTCCTGAAAAATTGCCCTAAACGATTCGACGTTGTCTTGGATAGGCCACTTTCCAACAGCGTCCTTGAGATCTTCCTCCGCTTGATTTAAGAGCCCGCTGCCGTACGAAGCAATCTTCTCCCAGGAGGGCAAAGGTAGCGAGTTGGCGGTTGTGTCTTCGACCTTGTGGTATACGTCTTGCATTCCTATAAGCCCGATCTCATTGCACACGCAGGAGAGAGCTACATACCCGAAGCTTTATGGGAAAGCCAGTCCCAAGGCTTTTCCCAAAACCTAGTGCAAGCCGATACTCAACAACGCCGCTAACAGTGATCAAGTCGACTTACGGCCTGGAAAACGCCTCCGCGGAGTCTTTCGCGATAACCGAAGTGGAAGCAGCAAGATGCTGGGGAACGAAAACGCATAGCAGAAGTATGCAGACGGCGAGCATCCTCAGAATCGCTCTGATCGCCCACATCTTTATTCGAGGCTGGGTGGGAGATGGGGAAGAGATTTTAGTGCCCCGGGGACTCGTCACCCTTTATACGCGTACGTTGACAGCTGCCAAGAGAATTGATGTATACCCGTACTTGGCCTTCTGATACCTATATCAGGTTTAGGCGCCCGTAAACAGGCCATACCTTGTATTCTTGCCGTGTTTGAAGTCTTGAATTACGATGACATGCACCGCAGAAAACGAGGAGATTCGTTATGAGGTGAATACAAGGCTAAAGCACCGCTTGTATTCGAGGTCCTCGCGGATAGCAGGCTCGAGGCATCTTGGTCGTGGACAAGGCTCTTCTTAGAGGTCTGTTGAATCTTCGTCGACCTTGCTCACGTCCCGCAGAGGCCCATATGGTGTTGAGAACAATCGAAAAGTCGTCATTGATCAGAAGGCTAAAAGCCAAGAGAGATAGCAGACGTGTCTGAGGTAGGAAGTTAATCAGCCAACTGCGTCGTAAGAGCAGAATTGTCTCGACGTACACCCACGTATTATTGACCTGAAATTGATTGGGTGCTACGGTAGCAGCGAGACTGGGAGAAGTAGGCCACACACCCTGTCAGACAGGTATCAGGCAACGCGCTCGATCGGGAGTGACGTCGGAGGTGGCTAACTAGGATCCAAGCAATGATTGCTCGCCAATCTAGGCTGTGCCAGTACCGCTTAAATTGCAATGTTATTTGGAGTCATGCATCGATAACATAGCGACACACAAGTAGTCGCTGAACTTATTTGGTATGTAGAGGTGCGTAAGCTTCAAGCGGCGCCCTCAAAGGAAACGACAATCAGCCTAGCAGTGAGAGTAGTGGAAGGTCAGGTGGGGGTTGATAGAAGGCCACGCTTACCACCATGATTCCTGTCGGTGACCAAGGAATGTCCCATGGCTCGAAATTGCGGCGGGAGTGTATTCGCAGCCTGTCAAGCTGTCGGACTTTCGTGATTTGTCCGCTAAACATTCAGGGCGTATATACAATGTTCTCCACAAATCGATGCATATTTCAATGATGGCGATGACGAATGAGCTTCTACAGATGCTCAGATGCCCACAATGCGTTAGCACAGGGCCTTGTTGCAACGACCACCACCGTGGTAAGAGGGCAGTCAAGTTCATGTCTCCTACTACAAACAACAACTTGAGATTAGCGTCTACTATAACCAAACTGAATAACTAGATTTCTCACTGTCACAGACAGCTGTAAGGAAAGAAAGGCTGAGGAAGTGACTCGGAAGAACACAGCGGCGCAGGCGCCAGGTCCGCCGTGCCTCTGGGTCGCAAAAAGGTCATAAATGCCAAATAAGCTCGTTACTCTCCTTTCTTGTCATCGAAAGTTTTATTCCACGCACCAAAGACGACTCGAGGCTCATCAGGATAGAGACAGCGGGCACACGATGTTGACACAATGCTCAAGATATTCATACCGAGCAGACGGACTGGCGAATACCTGGCTCCAGAGCTGGTCCCCCGACTTCTTGACATAACTCGAGAAGTCTGCTATCGTGTCGGTCACTCGCCGTAGCGAGATCACCTAATGATGGTCTACTCACCATAATCTAACCCAGCTGTTCTCCACGTAGCTTGTCGATGCAGTACGCCGTCTCTGGGTCGCTAAAAAGCGGGCCGCTGTTGCCCCCTTCGCAATTGCCCATACGAATTTGCTGATGGCAGCCATCATCACCACGAAGGACGACAGCAGCGCGAGCAAGCAGTACCTGTGCGTATGTGCGTCAATCGTACTAGAATGTCGAGCTGACGGCTTACCTTGTAACTTACACGCGTTACTTACATTTACTTACTGGAACTCACAAAATAGACGCCCATTTAAGAAACAAGAACTTACACCCTTTACTTACAGCCTTAAACCATTACTTACCAACACTACAAAACTTGTTACGCGAGGCGAGTAGATGTTGGTGGACGCGTTGTCCACCGTTCGCCCGCATACCCGTACTCAGATCGATATTCTCACTTTCCCCAGGCTCCTTTGTGTCTGCCCCCTCGCTTCAGAAGATGTCGCGCGCTATAGGAGCCCGGTTACCGCCTGAAACACAGTTATTCGTCCCAGATCACCTCTTTAGACCCTGATGATTCTTACTATTTTTCCCAAGATAAACGTCGCCGATTTAAACACGGGCTCACTGCGCCTAGCCTCGTGTGCAAGTACTGGGCGGAATAAATCAGACTTATCCCCTTCCGAGTACCCGAATTGCGCAGTGCCGAAGATGTACGGTTATTGAAGAACATCGTCTACAGCCCCCGGTTTAGGGACTCGTCTCTGTCTAAGGCCATCGAACAGATACATATCCATCAAGAAGCTACGGAGGCGAAGCCCTGGTTTCACCATGTTCATGGACTTTCAACCTGACTTCGGGAGACAGAATTCAAGTGTACTGCCGTGAGCCGCACGAGCGATCGTCCATCAATGGTCGGCCGTTGGATCCCATTTGATTCGATACCGAGCGTCACCCCATCCTATGTCCGACTTTCTACCCTCACCCTAAAAGGGCTAGTGTTCGCGAGCACGACCGAGCTCACACGGCTCGTCGATAATCTCCCCGCTCTCAATGACTGCGTCTGCAACCAACTCGCCTTCCTTGACCTGTCGCCGGTTGTCCAGCCACGCAGATCTCGACGACGCGCTTCATTGACCTCTCCCGGTGCAAGGTGTTGTGATGTAATAATATGGCTGTTTCCACCCCAGCAGTGCTAGCTGCTGACATTCTTACGGCTGCTCGCCGCATGGGTCTTAACGACCGCACATGGGATGCAGCCCTTCAGGCGCTGCTTGCGTTAGTGCCAAACGCACCTGGAAGCGTGGTCGTGTATCTTGGGTGATCAGAACGGTAGCACGTTTGGTACGTCTCTTAACTTGTGCAAATAATGCAAAGCTCACTATCTATTCCTCATCAGACAAGGCGACGATCAAATACTGCTCATTTGATCAATGTGACTCTCTGGGCGATCATGTCTGTGCTGATGTTAAGGTTTGGCGACTAAGTGTGGGCGCGGGACTCCCGCTCACAGCTGTCGAGAGCATCACGCTGCAGCTCTCATTCGCGGATATCAAAGCTGTGAACACCCTTACTTGGAACGCTTTGCGAGCCGTCGTTGATTCCCCGCACATGCACTTCCTTCGTATCAATCACTTCCTACCGCACGGCGCCGCCTTCAAGGTCACGAAGAGGATCCTGTGCTCTGTGTTGCGCCGCACGCAGCTGACCTGGGCTCTTGACTCAGGTAAACTGCAGTTCTGGAGCTTTTATTCTGATTCCGTCACAAGCGCAGACATCTTATCCGTACCGACGGCGCACACCATCAGCGGCACCACAACCACCCTCGACATCACCGAACAAGCCGAGTGGTTGCTGAGCCTAGCAAACCCTTACTCAGTTGGCACTACAAGAGAGAAATATTTACGACAGCTCATAGTCGTTCGGGCGGGCAGCTCAGGAACTGCGCCACCCGCCGTAGATGGCACTCAGCACACGGCGGTGGAGCAGGCCCAGGAGGTCGATATGCAGGGGGAGTAGACGGCAGAGATGAAGACGACCTGGAAACCGAGCGCTAGCAAGGCGTACTATCGGACGGGCGAACATGTTTTGGGACAGGCTGAGTCGTGCGAAAGAGTGCCCCTTGCAGGAAGCTGACACTTGCTCGGACATTGCGTATGGTCCCCAGTTTCGACTCTTCAAGTTTCTAGTTTCTCGAAGGGCAGCCATGCATTCCTTGCAATTTTTTTTTAAAATCTCACCTTACCATCTATTACCTCATTGCTCGCCTCCCTGTGTTCTTCGACTGTTTTACAGAAGCAAAGTAATAAATAGAACGAGACAATAGATCCCGGCGCTCGTCAAATCGAGCGCATATCTTCGATGTCTCCCGGACTTCGACGCCGTATGTGCTACGCCGTTGTCTGGCGACTCTTTTCTGACCTCCCGCATAGGAGACGTCTTGGATCCCGGTTGACGCCGCGGCGCGCACAGCAGTCGACATGCTCCGCTCGTCAGGTTCCGGTTTCTCAACGTACCACCTCACGCACCCGCGGCCCGTGCATTGGCGCACGCTGTTTGCGCCGATTGCGCAGGCTCTCGGGCTGCAGTCCGTCACCTACGAAGTGTGGCTGCAACAGCTCAGGAACAGCAGCGAGCGGTCCAGGCGCATGGCGCCCGACCGGGAGGTTGAGGAGCTACAGCGCAACCCCGCACTCAAACTTATCGAGCACTTCGAAGAGATGCATGCCGGCGGCGCGAAGGGCGGTGACGAGGCGTCCGAGGTGACGCGAGAGGCGCTCGGCTTGCCGAAGCTTTCTGTGGCTCGGGCAGTACAAGTAGCTCCCTCGCTAAGCGAGGAGAATCTCCCACAGCTCACAGCGAAGGACGCCATGCAATGGGTGCAGTACTGGAAGTCAATACAATATCTGCAGTAATGTGCGCTTTCTGACATGGACCATACTGAATGGAATGTACCTGTACACTTCACTAATTGTGCGCACAATCCGAGGCAAATACATACTCTGTTGAGATAGTGTGTAATTATGCTTCATCTCACAGATGAGATCACTCACCTTGCAGTGTCAACTTTCTAGCATTTTTCGCATTCTGTGCGGAGGCTATCTTCTCTTCACGTTTAACAGCAGCCCATGCTAAGGCAGCTCCAGGACCTCCGACGATGCTGATGAAGAGCATACGGAAGGCCCAACTTTCGATACCCATCGAGGGAAACCCTGTTCGCATATGGAGATGGGACCGCGCAAAGAATGTCAGGATAGCAATGGTCATGATAAGCCAGTCGTGCTGGAAGAGCAGTCGGCTGCATGGTCGATATGCAGCCAGCGAGCCGGCAGGTAGCGAGATGGGAAGGTATGGGTGTAGCCAGAATGGGATGAAGATGTTCGCGAAGGAATGTGACGACTCGGTCGCGAATAGAGATGGCACGAAGACGTACAGGTGCGCCCAGGCCGCAATCAGGCCGCAAACATAGTACGACCGGCTGAGCCAGATGAGTACTCGCGATGCATCCTGGTGAGGGCCTGCAGATGGGCCGAAGGCAGATAAATCCACTTTGCGGAATAAGGCCCAGAATGCAGCAGTGTAGAGTGGAAACGGCTGCCATGCTGCCGAAATCTTCTGGACAGTGTCTAGGGACACTCCCTTTGGCGGAAAGACCAAGAACCACGAAGGGACAAGATATCCCAAGATGATGGCTGGTAGTATGGTTTTCACTCTTGTAAGCGCGTCTGCGGGTAGGAGCGTCGGTATACTGGATATGTTGTGAATGTGAGATACGAAGTACGCGGGTAATGTGACTCCGGCTGTCAAGAATTGCGCGAGGATGCACACGAAGGTAGGCCTGAAGGGCTTAGCGACCTTGAGCAGTCGAAGATGAGCGCGTCGTGTACTCACCAGATCGCCAAACCCGACTTCGCCCTGCCCGCCTCCCAGTACGTAAACAACAAGACGGTGCAGAGCTGTGGTAAGAACCACAGGCAGAACAGGTGGGTCGCTTCGTCGTTTCCATCTACTGCTGCCCCGGACACACCTCCGTACACCATGAATATGAAATCCAAGGGTACAAAGCCTGTGTAGAATCGTCGCAAGGGGAGGCCATCAGGCAACCATCCCGTCTTCCATGCGCTGACCGCCGTGGGTATGAGAACAAGCGACGAAGGCGGTATGATGAAGATCAGTACAACAGCAAGGATACATAAAGACCACAAAAAGCTAGTGGCAGGGACTTTAGGTGGCATAGTGTACGTTGAACTGGGAGTGCAAGCCTGCAGCAGAAGATATACAGTCTGTTCGCCGACCGAGGGGATCGTACGAGGAACGTCAGAACAAGCGTCGCCTGAGCATAGCCTATTTATGCTCAAGCTCTGGCCAGGATTTTCGACGAAAACCGAGATATTTTGTTTGAAGCGCGTGCTGAGACATAAAGATACATGGGTAGGTAGCGGTTGTGAGTCTTGGAGGTAGGGTTACAAGGCAGTACAGGGGTCCCTCCAAAGCGCCAAGACATTAGGGACCCCGCAGACTCCGGACCATTGGCCGTAGAGTGGTACTCCACTACCCCCTACTCCAAAGACACGGGCCTCATAACAACATTGCCGTCAGAAGTTGCAACAGGTCCTCGGTTATTCCACTTATTGAAGGCGTCTGTGTCTAATGCATCTAAAGTGCTTTCCATATTCTGTATTTCTCAACAAGCGTCATGATCTTCCCTTTGTCGTGTACCTACGCTCTCAGGCTGGCGCTAAGCGCCACTCTGCAGCAGGCGAAATAATGCTCCGCCGTGTTCCATGCTCCGTTGCCTGACGAACCTGTAATTTGGCCGAGTCGGACGACAACAGTGCGCAGCGGCGTGCCAGCCTTTGCCAAGTTGTCGCTGATGTTGTTCAGGAGCGTTTCAGCTACCCACTTCGACTCAGTGTATCCGTTGGCCAGCGCGATAGAGGCGTCTACGGGCTCTTCGGGGACGGGGTGCGAGCGACCGGCATCTGCAGGAGCGATGTGAGGCTGCTGAAACTTACCCACGGAGACAGGAAACGACCCACGGGCCAACATTCCGATGGAGCTCACGAAGAGTAGCTGCGGTGGCGGAGAGAAAGAAGATGCCAAGGAGAGGTCGACCAAGTTTCTCAGGCTGCGAACACTCGAGTCGAAGAAGCTGAGGGGTAGCTTGAAGTTCACCGGCCATGCTTTCAGGGTCCGTCAGCAGAAGAGCATCTTCAAAATCATCACGACACACCAGTAGGAAGGATGTGTGTTATGGAGCTGCGAACCTAAAGGCCTCGTAAGCGATGCTTATATCACGAAAAATCGCAATCTTGTACATACTTCCTCATAAATGTTATTCTGTAGCCCAAGCTTGTCACTGCTCGTGTCTGTGTCGATAAAGGCAACCTTCCTGGACTTCACGATCCGTTCCGCGTCGTACCCACGCTCCGCAAGAACGTGTTTCTGCCGCTCCTCAAGAGATTGGAGACCTTTGCGATTGACTGCATAGATCTTGCAAACTTTCGGGTCGTCGACAAATGCAGCGAGCAGCGCGGCACCCATGCTGCTCGTTGTGCCCGTGACAAGCACGACGCTCTCTGCCGGACGGTCTGCCTTAGGAGTGTGCCTCGGCAAGTCCTTGCTATACTTTTGCACCATCGCGTGCATGGCCGCGATGCGCTGCTTTCCGTCCACTATGTCGTCGCTCGGCGTCTCTGTGCCGGCGAGGCTCGACACGTACTGCGCGAGTCGGGAGATCGACGAATTCTGGTAGACAAAGTTACTCGGGACGGCCCTAGAGTTGACCCGTGTCGTCTGCCGGAGGGCGTGTAGAATCGAGTTGCGTATCCACGTCGCCTGCAGACTATGTAAGAGCGTCAGCGGCCAGTCAATGAGGGGTAGTCTCCCGGCACACCTGTCACATCCTTTCTGAAATAGATCGTCCGTGTCCAAGACATATCGTGTCATGACCTCCTGCACCGTGGAGCGCACAAACTCGATTGCGTGCGGCAAGGTCCAGGATCGTGGTGGCAGCAGATGCGCCTGCGTGGTCTCGTCCACCGTCGCGTACAACGCCTCGATCTCGGGCTGATACTCGTTAATGATCGCCGGGCGGCGTGGGGTGCCTTTGGCGGTGTACGTGAAGGGCTTTGCGGGCGAAGAGACGATAATCATCTATGACGAGCCATAATTAGTCTCGGCAGTCGTCGATGCATGGCAAGTTGCACGTACCTCCTTGAAGAGCCGCGAATGCTGGGGTGCAAAGTCGTTGACCTTCTCCACCGTCGGCCTGTGTCACGGAGGGTTAGCAACTAGTCGCTCGTAAAAATCCGCCAATGAGCTCACCAGATTGCGTTTCTAAACTCGGCAAGCTTCTCTTCATCGTTTACGTCGAACTTGTATTGGAGTTTAGGATCTATGAGCACACCGGGGTTGAATTTGCCCCGCCCGAAAATGACAGCGCTTTGGATATGAGGGTCCTGGTGAAGCATAGGCTCTATTATAACAACAAGGTGTCAGCGCAGATGTCCTCTGGTTACCAGAGAACGTATTCACCCAACGGTGCCGGGTTCGTCTATTCAGCTGTAGTCAGAAAGATTGTCTCGAGAATATCGCTTGCCGTGAGACGTACCTTCTCCCCTGTGCTGTGCATAATCTGCTCGTCCGAACGACCTCCTACTTTCCATAGGCCTTTCCTCGTCGGGTGGGGTATCAAGATGTCATTCGTATCAAATGCTGGTACGCCATCCACCATGGTGTTTAGAACAGTGGGGACTTGGTACTCGTTTGCCTGTGTTTAGCATCAGCCGACTGCCAGTAGTGGGACCAAACTTATTGGCTCACGGCGAGGATAAGCTGAGAACCTCCGTCGTCGAGCGGTACGAAGTGTGTACCGCAACACGGCGAGAAGGCAAAGTATGCCCAGTCCATGCCATTACCTGATTCTGTAGTGCAAAAGTATAAGTATTACGCAAAGTGTAGCGCGAGGGGCACGCCCTTGGTAGGATCTCATTGATTATGCCATACTCCGTTCTGCATGCGCATCAGAAGGGAGCGAAAGTACGAGGGAATGAAGAAAACGCACATCCCGTATAAAGTAAAGATGTCCACTCCTTTGGAGGCCAAGAGGTCCCCAACGTCCTTTGCGAGCGGTCCACCACCGTAAATCTGACCAGGTTAGGAAGAACACGTTCGGCAATGAGGCGGCACATACCACGCCCTGCGTCTGAGCGATCCACTCAACCTGCTCCGGGATCTTGCACCACGCCTGCGCCGCCAGATCAGTCGCACATACACGCGTGCCATCAGCAAACGGCGCTCGCCTCGATCATGGCCGGTACACAGAAGAGCAGATCGCTCTTCGTCGCCATTGCGCCACGCAGGATGTCGTCGGGTGCCGCTTGGCGTGCGGGGAACTGTGGTTTGAACCCCGTAAGCACGAGGCCACAGCCGATCGCCCAGCCGATTGCGGCTATGCCCATACCGTGGAACATCGCAATTGTATGACACGAGAGTCGCATGCCTATCATATCACGCTCATGGTAATCTGCGGGGGTCACTCAGAGGGAAGTAGGGGGTGGGGAGACGAGGACATACACGGCCAGCGGGTCAAAACCGTCATATTCCACTGTCGGAACGTGATGGGCTTCGGGAAGGCGGTGGATCCTGGGTGGTGTTGTCAGTTGGCTGAAGGGTGCCACTTAAGGCTAGGGATCGAGATTTGCCTGATGAATGAAGAACCACACCGGCGTCCTTGAAATTGTACGTCTCTATGGGTGGCAACAGCTCGGATTTATCCCTTTCGCCAGCATAGAGCTCATCCCAAAGCGGCATGGGCGAATCCGACGGAATAGTTTCCCCGCCGGCTTTCATAATCTTCACTGCCTCGGCGTACACGTCTTGCATGACGGGCTCACGTCCTAACAGAACATGGTCTACCTTGACCTTCTTGAGCAGGTGTGCGATAGCGGCGGCCGAATTGCGGGACGAGATAAGGAAGGGCACGTAGCCAGTCCTGAACAGGGCCAAGTCCATTGTCGCATATGTCAAGGGATCTAGGAGCCTTATCAGTCTACGCAACTTTAGGGAAAGTTATGACACACACCGGCGGCCGAAACAACCGCTACTACTGGCTTCTCCTTCGATATGCCTGCCTCTTTCAGCGCGTCCAAGACGATTCGCGCACCGCGATGGACGGCGTACTGCGCTGTCGAAAAATTGATCGACATGAGTGATCCGTCGTCGTCGATATACTCGAGAAGCGGATGGTGAGGCGAATGCTCTGCTTGCCAGTCGAACTGCTGCGCAATGCTGAGTGAGCCGTCGAGCGGCGGCACCTTAAACGTCTTGCACGACTGGCCATGGGTGTGCTCCGGGATCGGTGCGTGCGGGAGCCGCATGTAGTCGGTTGGATTCATGGTCGACATGTCCGTATCTCTAGCAGCAGTGGGCCGGGTCAAGGTAGATGCTGAAACGATCGACGTGTCTACTGTTATATATATACCGTGGTGCCTAGATGTATGTGCAAGACTACTTACTGTTCACGACTGGGCTCCAGCTGAATGTTTCAGGCTATGCGATGTTTCACGCCCTGAACTGTTTCATCAGCCGGCTAGGTTGACATACTAAGCACACGGCTGCGTGCGTGCCGATAGCATGAACAAATCAATCACCCACGCAAGTTATGCTGAACATAAGTAATCGTGGTCATCCGTAATGCATGATGCGAAACAACGGTCTGACTAGACGCAAGGCATCGCAGAGAATAAAGAGTCAGTATTTAATATTAAATGCTAGGGCGTCTATAACTCGCCATTCCCGTCACTTGAACCGCTCTGACGCATCCGGCGCAGGCAAGTTTTGAAACTTGATGAGGCTAGCAGGTAAGTAATCGTCCAGAACATTCCATTTACTTCAGTATTGTGAAGCTTGAAACATGAAGTTGAAGGGCGATACTACGTTGCACCAGCTCAGCAGGTATTACGCATCGACTCTGCCAAGAGGTCGTCGAAGTCGGCGCAGTCGACATTGAAACATACAGTGCAAAAAGGGTCGTCGCCAGCCATTCTAGCTCATCCGGAATATTCCAGGCGGACTTCGATTTTGCAGAGACTGAGCTTCGCCTTTTTTTGAAGTCCGACGGAGTCTCCTCTCGGCCCGACGTAAGTCGCAACTTGCCGCTTCCGCTTGGGACGAGGAATTAGCTACACTTGCGCCAGAACTTTGCTACTTAGCTCGCTCGTCGCCCTCAAAATATTTGCTACTGTCTTGTGCCCATTCCGCGTCAGAACCAAACCGTTTTCCAACAAAACATCGAGGATTACGAATGCTGTATGGCGCGCGGCCTCCGCCGCGGCGGAGCTCAGAGAGGATAGCCTGCCAAATGCGGCAGGAGCTAGCACAAAGTATTCTGCATAAAATTGCCTTAAACGAAGCAAAATACTCGCTCTAGGCCAAGGGAATTGAACGCCTTGTGCCACAAAGCCGGCGCTCACGAGATAATAGGCCGACGTGTTCTCGTATAACCGCGGCCGCTTGGCCGACCTTCAAAATCCACATCCCATCTCAACAGCATGTGCGCCACATACGAGATGCAGCGGCTCCCGACCACTCCACAGCGTTGGTCGCTGCACATTGGCAGATAAACTTTTCGGTCCCGTCGCCCGCTCGAAGAGCCGATCGGGCGCACCAGTCAGAAGAACACAAAAGCTGACTTGTTCCATATCTTCCTGGAAGCCGGCGGGCGCAGAACGTCCTCATTGCTGTACGCCATCGAGTCAGCCTTCAGAAGCTTCAGCACCTACACCATCACAATCAGTCGGAAACGCGCCAAGCTGCGGTCGATGGAGGTTTATGTGTGTGATCGGCCTTCGAGACATTGGGGCACACCGTTTCCGCACCAAGCCCAGCACTTTCTTCGCAGAGCGAGTCCGAGTCTGTATCATAGGAGAATGGAAGAGACCTAGGTGCTCGCCCAGTGCGATTATCTGGCCTATGAGAGGTTTGGGTTTAGCGCGTTTGTGGGCGCCTGCTGCCTGCTCCGCGAGCAGTCAGCGGGGTATGGGAGGGGTTACTCTCGTGTGGGTGGGCATATGATATCGCACTACATGTGAGCTAGTAAATACCCCGCGTATAACCACGGCACCGAGGACCTGCCTCACTGGCAACGGGTTGGACGTCAAGTTATGGCAACCGCAGGCGCTCCACTTCACAGCTTCGCAGCTGGTATTGTCGTGGGAGGCGCCATTCTAATATAGCAGCACGACGGTTAGCATTTCATCAGGTAGAAAAGAGGTCTTGTGACTAGCCTGTAATGGAGGTCAAGGAGCGCGTCCTCAGGCGTACGTTCAGGCGAGGTACGGGCCGGGCGCTGTCTGAAGGCCAATTTTGAGCGGAACCTTTCCCACTCTGTACACTAGTTAGTTGTCCGTCGCGATCGATGCTGTAGGGTATAAAATTACCTCCGTAGAGAATAGGCTTCCCTCCTAGGCGACGGTATTCTTCAAACTGGTCGTCGGGGCCATCAAGCAAGGGTTGATCTATGCGCATGTCCGGAAGAAGCTTGACAAAGTAGTGGATGCCAATTCTCCGGAAGCTGCGCGGAACAGCCGTAAGCGTCATCCATGGGGCACTGGAACGGCAGGACAGGCTCACCGGCGCTGATCTTCGGGGGGTTCAGCAACTTCGGGGTATCGTGGGTGAAAATCAGCCAGGATAGGGTGCAGGAATGCGGCGTACCTCGATGGAAGGCAGCTCTGAGACGACTCGAGGTGAGCGCCTCCAATGCGTGCCCCAGATTAACGATGATAGCTCCCGGCTTATGACGCACCCACGCCCATTTGCCTTCAGGCTTGAGAACCTGGAGGGCAGCTACCGGCTGCGAGTCTATACATAGATCAGATAAAGCGTAAGCAGGACCCAACCAAGCTTCAGCAAGTCTGGGAGCTTCACTCACAGTTCAGCGTGATAGTTCCTCTACGAGATGTTTGGGTATACGGAACAGTTTTAGGAAATTCAGGGCGCACATATCCCGATGACTTCGCAAGTATAGTTTGTCGGAATTGAAAAATGATTCATCGTCCTTGCGAGGGTCTACGATCGTTATACATCACAGCAATGAAAAAACCAGCAAAGTACTTACTGTATACCTGGAACCTGAAATGGTCCTGGCTGTGCTTCCAGTAAATTGGCGTATCTTGTGGGCGTTGAAGCGTACCATCCACGTCGTATCCACCTCGGTGATGCAAACGCCACAAGCTGACACATACATGGGAAGAAGCCGGATAGAGTGAGTAAACGGTGCACTCACGTATCGCCCGGAAGTCCGAGAGCTAGAGATAAGATGCACAACATCTTCCCGACAACGACGTAGTGGTTGTGCTGCAAAAAAGAGGCGGCTTAGCCACCCACCCCTGCGCAGTTTGCAGCATTCACGCACCTCCAAGAATCTTCGGTAGTCATGCAGGAATTGCCTTGCAACCGGCGGTATACAGGAGTGAACCAGTGTTTCAGGATAGAAGTTGAAGTTCTGCACAGCTATCTGTGAGGGGTATGCGCTGCGTCGTACAGGCAAAATATACCTCGTCGCAGTCCTGAGGCCCATAGTAACCTCTTGGCTACGCACAATGAGACCAGCGTGCACTCTGTAGTTCGAACACCACACACACCTTGTACCCGGCCCAGCTCCCCTCCTCTGAGATCTTCGCGACGTACCGCCCCTTCTCCTCGTCCGCCACCCTGTCGAAGAACACAGACCCGACGTCAAACTGCCTCTGGATCTCCTCAGCGCCGACCCCGTGTCCAGTGACGTGGACCATCCCGAGGCCGCCGCTGCCGAACGCCCTGAGCGCGCGTGCGACCGTGTCGTCGCGCGCACGCCGCCGAGCCTCGCCGAGCGCCGCAGGGTCGGCGGTCAGGTCGACAACGGAGATGTCGATGGTCTCGAGTTCGGCGTAGTCGTCTGCATAAAGGATCCAACACAGTCAATGGTCCATTGCAGCGTTGCGTCAACGCCAGAGGACGTACCGTCCGACAGCAGCGTCGACTCCGGCGGAAAGTCCCATCTCGGCTTCGTCATCGATGCAGGAACGGCGTTTGTAGAGACGAGTTGGAGATCGAGTGTTCGCAGTCGCGCAGAGCTCGGGGCGCAGTCACAAGGCAATGTGAGAATGTCGATGTCGACATGTCCTGGTGCCATGTTCCGGGCGAGCCGCGCTAAGCGTGAACTTTGCGGCCTTGAGCCGAAACTTAATCAAGCCTCCGAAGAAGGGACGGAGAGAAAACATCACTCGACTCTACTCGACTATCCAGACCAATGCATCGACGAGCACAGCGCCAAGTCTGGCGGTCATATGCAAAGAGCTGAAGAAAGAAACGTCGCTCAGCAAGAGCGGGCCAACGGTATCTTCGGCCATCACCGCGCCACGAAGGCGGGCCCCTTGGATTCAACTCGACCACTTCAAGGCAGAGCGTGTCGGACGGCATATACGAGCCAAACGACAGAGAAGGTTATCATATTGCATAGTGGTAATTATAAACAAGTATATGAAAGCATGCGGTAGCAAGAGTAGCACTAGTTGATACAAATGGTACAAACGAGGATCGAGCAGCAAAAGGACAGCAGCATAAACGAAGACACAGATGACACGAAAACATAACAAGAGGTCCACACGACATCCAAGGAGAAAGATGCACAAGTACTATGCCTGAGAAGACTCGGGCTTCGTAGCGGAGGGCGGGACGATGACTTCGTCGAAGTCGTCCATGGACGCCTGCTCGTGGCCCGCTGGGTAGGAGACCTTGCGGCTCTTCTGCGAGAGCGCATACGCGATCTTGCGGCCCTCCCTCTCTGTGATCTCCTGCAGCTTCAACTTGCGCTCGCGGGGGCTCAATTTCGCGAGGTCGACGTCGATGACCTTCGAGAGGGCCTTTGACGCGATCGGGGCCTGCGGGCGCGCCCACTCGACGCCGTCAGACCGTTTGCCCCACTTGTCGAGGCCAAAGATGTTGAAGCCATCGCTGAGTCCGAGCTCGTCGACTTCCTCCTTCAGCACCTCACGCAGCTGCTCGCCGTTGCGGTGCCAGTCGCCAACGCCGACGTGGATGAGGCGCTTCTCAAGGGGGATCGGCGCCTCGAGGCCCTCGCCTTCGAGTGTGCGTCCTCGGTCGCTGGGGCTGAAGCGGATGCCGGGAAAGCCACCGAAGTCGCCGTGGAGGCGACGGCCAATGTCGACGATGACCTGGCGCATACGGCGCACACGAAGACTGTGCATGCGAGAGTTGTACGTGGGTGCGTACTTGCGGTCGGGCTCTTCGATGCTAGCGTAGAACGGGAGGCCGCGGGGGAGAGCGCGACACATGCGGGCGTAGGTGAGTGCAAGTGAGCGAGTGGAAAGCGTGGCAGTGAGCATCGGACGCCAATAGGGCTCCTCCTTGAGCGTCGCCACATAGCGTTCGCGGTACTCGTGCAGCTTGCTGTTGAAGTCGCGCACGGAATCAGCAACAGGGAGAACGGGACCGCCGGCCTCGACTACTTCGTCGGCCTCCAAGAAATACTCGTCCCCATCCTCGCCAATTTTCTCTGGCAGCGCGAACAGTTGCTGCTTGGACTCTGCAGGAACACTGTCCTTGGACGCTTGAGCGGGAGACTGTGGCGGTACCGCGTGGGAGGCCATGCCATGTAGAGGCACCTCGCGAGCGCGTGCGACAGCGCTGGTATGGAAGCCGCGTACACCACTCATGCCGTGCACAGAGGAGGCCCCACACGCGGCGAGTTCCTCCGTCTCAGGCGGTGTAAGGGCCTCTTCCCATATAATCTTGCCGGATTTGACGACGTTATCATCGGTATCGAAGACTGGGAGCGCAGCGACGGGATGGAACTCCGTCGCGGGTGTGGGAGGTTCAAAGCCGCTCGGGAAGCGAACCGTGCCGTCTTCTTCAATAACTTCCGGCGGAATCTTTTCCTCGCGAGGGTGCGTTTCCGCTGTGATACCCTCACTGAGGATGCCCGCGCTCAGCTGGGACATCAAGTTGCCTTCGGTTTCTTTGCGCTCCGCTATGTCGTCCAGTTGGCGCTTGCGCTCGACGTAGTAGGTAGGAACGACGTTGTCGTCTGCATCCTGGGAGGGCTTGTGTGGACGCGACCAAGCGGACGCGGGCATCTCAGCACGCTCCGCCGGGGTCGTGTGAGTCTTCTCGACGTCCGAGCGCCATGCAACAGCAGAATGGAACGCACGCTTCTGTCGCTGGCCCTTCGGTGGCGGAACAGGTGCGAACGTCAAGTCCATGGACACGACGGGTTGCGTGGTGGCATCGGCAGACGACGCGCCTTCATAGATCTCCTGCTGCCGACGCTCCAGGACCTCCCGCCTACTCTCACCCTTGTCCCACCAGACGACCGACTTTTTGCTCCTTTTTTCCACCCAAGGCCAGATAGCGTTGTCCATGACCTCCATCTCCTCCTTCGGGCAGTTCCAGCTGTTGTACTTCTCCAGAATAGCGGGAAGGTCGCCTTCTCTGCACACGCCGACGACGTGCTCGATTGAGTCCTGGCGTCCGACGCCGTGCCGAGTGGGGTATCGCGCTTCGAGGAGGAACGCGGTGTGCGGCTCGTACGCCGCCGGTGGTGGAGCTTCATAGACTTTGCGCTTCCGCAGGTATGCGCCTCCTGGCCACCAATTCGATACGCGAAGATCTTGTGGACGCGTGAAACCACCCATGTACCTGTGACAGACGGTTCAGTTATGGGAGCGTGAACGACAAAAAAAAGACGTACGTCTTCACTGGAGTCAATGCCTTTGTTATATCTACGCGTTCATCGCGCTCTGCCTTCTCCATGCGTCGCTTCGTCTGCAGTGTTATTTCCTTCGAGCTTGGCGGAGGATTTGGTGGAAGCGGGCCCCCCGCTTGCGTGACTCTCGCTTTCGTCTGCAGCACCTTGGTGCCCGCCTTAATTCGCGGATACGACATGACGTGTTGTAAACGGGAGAAATGAAGGTTGGGACAAGCTTAAGGGCGAGGAAGGGAGGGATACGAGGGAGAGGTGTTGTTGTTAAACCGAGGGTGCAATGGCAGACATTTAAGAGCTGTTTGGACCTGTTTGGTCGCCTACCATACTTGGATGCAACCTAGAAAGATTGGACGTAGATGAGTCGTTGAAGTCATAGTTCTTCGTTCCGAAGGACAGGCTATCTGCACCCCAGATGTTGGATGATGACAGTGACGCTGGGTGGCGCGGAGTGGAGACAGAGCGCGAAGCGAGAGGGTCAATAACACATGAATGACAGGTGTTCTGAGAATTATCCGGAAGTTACTAAGGAGCGACAACACGACAGTGTACGTAACTAGTCTTCGAAAGATCGAAAGATAACTAGGGGTATATGTGAGAAACGAAAGTAGGTACCCAGGAGTTCCAAAGAGCGGCAGAAAAGCAGTGGACGGCGATAGTGTTCACCGTCTGCCTGTGCCGCGGCCATAGCCCGCTTGAAGATTGTCCAAGTCCGCCTCGAGCGCCTTGATGGCGCTGTGTGCCATCTCGAGGTCCTTGTTGAGGCGGTCGCGCTCTTGGATAAGCTGCGGAGATCTCATCAGAAGATGTCTCATGAGGGACCGAGGTACCGCCACGTACGTGCTGCTCCCACTGCCTGAAGCGCGCTTCTTCCGCCTTGACCTGCTCGGTGAAGCGTTTCCGGAGGGCTTCCTCCTCGTCCTTGAACTTGGGATTGTCCGACTTGCGGGGCTTCTGCTCGCCGAACTTGCGCACCTCCATCTGAGCCTGGCGGTAGTTTTCGTAGTGCAGGTCCTCGGTCGTCGAGATGAGATCAAGCATGTGGGTGCGGATCAGCAGCGACCGCAGCTTGCGGAAGTCACAATGGTTCTCGTTCTCGACTATATCAGGTGCGTTAGTTGGCACCACGGCACACAGACAGAAGGACTTACCCTCGGCGACACCCCACAAGTACTCACGGCCCTTGACTACTCGGCCGTCCGGCGTGGTAACGTCCTCCGTGGAACCGATAATAGAAAACGGCATCGCGGCGGTAAGTACACGGGCGTGCTCAGCCGCAGACTCATCATCGGTGTCGACGGGCGGCTGATAGATGCGGATACCTTGCGCCGCTATCACCTCACGAATCTGCACAAAAGGTATACAAAAGGTAAGGTAAGGCAGTAGAGGCGCTTTCAACAGTACGCACACGCTGCTTGAAGACAGCGAGATCGTTTTGGGTAAGCGTATCGGCCTTTGCGACGACCGGGATCAGGTTGACACGGGTGCCGAGACGCTTCATGATCTCGATGTCCAAAGGCTTCAGCCTTCGACAGAATCAGAAAAACTGTGCAGTAGGTTTAAGGGTATACGTACGTATGGCCCGTGGGACGAATGAAGTACAAGCACGCGTGCACACGGAGGTCGATCTTGTCATGCCTCTGGGGCTGCTGCTCCTGGCGCATATACGCTTCGTGCTGGTCGTCAATGAAGTCGACAATGGGTGACCACGAGTCGCGGTTGTTGACATAGTCCCCGAATCCTGGGCAGTCGATCACAGTGAGCTTGGTCTTGAACTGCTTCTCCTCAAGCTCGGCCTTGATAATTTCCACCTCGGTCAGCTTGTCGAGCTGCTTGTGGTGGCGGCGGGTATAGTTCTTCTGCGGGGAGAGCTCTGTCGAGAAAAGCGTGTTGACGAGGGTGGTCTTGCCCAAGCCGGACTCGCCTACGCGAAGTCAGACACAGGCAATAGAGTGATAGGCAAAATACGACGCGCCAACAACCATGATAGTAAAGTGCGCCCCGTGCTTCGCGACGATCTTGTGCCTCTGTCGATTGTGTCAGTAAAGCAGCCTGCCAGAGCACCCTGCAATTTGACCAACCTGGTTGGGCAAGTTAGCGATACCAATACCGTCGGACATAGCTTGAGCGGAGGCCATGGCGGGCTGTTATGGGCTACAAAGGAGCGGCGGGGGGAAAAAACGAAGTCCAACCTGGCGTGAACGTCGACAGATCGTTGCGAGCAAGACGTGCGTGACGACGTCCGACGTGACTGATGTTTCCATCTCGTAACGGAGGCACCCATATGCGGCTAAAAGTCGTGCCAAATACCTTAGCCTTAACTTTACGTACTATAGCCATATCTGGTATTTTTACATAATATCGCAGGCACTTCCCGGACGAAAACACTTGCATTCGCCTTCTCACATCACGAGAGAAATTTGGAACTTTTTGGTCGCAAAAAATATGCGAAAACAGCCTGAAAAAATAAGTAAGAAAATGCCATATTTTTCCTCCCGGTATCCGGCGGCCCGGCGACTCGGCAACCCGGCAGCTGAGCCGATTGTCCGCCGGGTGCCGCAGCCACGGGCGCTTTGACAATGGCCTGGCGGACAATCGGCTCAGCTGCCGGGTTGCCGAGTCGCCGGGG